CAGCGGACTACAACATGGATGTTTAATAAGAACGAGGGACTACTGTAAACTCATCTAGAGACTCTGCACCGTGCTCTGATGCTGTTGCTTTATGCTTTATGAACAACAGAGAAACATATTCTTCATGACCAAAGTTGGAATTGAAATAAAAAAGGAAAGTGAAACTTATGCTCGTCACCCTCTCCCTCCGGTCCACATTAATACAAATGATCCCAATACGTATGATTGTGATTCTCAAATGGTCAATATCATGCACTGAGTAATTTTACGATTGATATTTTGAGTATATCGCCTTTGAGGATACTCCGTTCACCCTTTCACCCTCGCCCACCCTCCTGGAGATCGATGAACACAAAAAGGAGATACAGAGGGTTGGCACCGATTCCTTCCTGGAGTTCAAAGACCAAACAAAGGCGATACGCAGGGCTGGCACCATGTCCTTTACCCCCGCTCCTCAACGACGCCCACCAAAATCACCGCGGAGACGCGCACCATCTCCCCCGTCCTCATCACCGCGCCTACGTCAATCACCTCCCCCCCTGGCAGTATGTCCTCTACCCCCGCACCATCTCGCCCGTCTCCATCACCGTGCCTACGTCGACCACCTCCCCTCCCTTCGAGGGGGCATCTGCAGTCTCCGAAGCCTGATAAGGATGTGTGTGTACAAAACACAACAAACTCTTACTGATATGTGATGGGTCCAGGCTCAAGGGCGTATGGCACTCTCAACTCTTTCCAGGACATGTCGGGGCCCTGCCTGCCAGTAGCTTTGCCGATATCTGTGTTGATAGGTAATAGATTAAGAGCAGTGAATCATAGAAACAGGAAGCGCTCAAACGTTTGTGTGAGTGTATCTAATTTAGCAGTGATTCCATGTCAGCCACAGCTTGTTACAAAAAACATGACTGATAGTGTGTTTAACAAACTTAAACTAGCTTTATTAAATGTCAGGTCTTTGGCAGGAAAAACATTTTTAATCAATGATTTTATCACTGAGCACAATCTCGATTTTATGTTTTTAACAGAAACTTGGATTGAACAAAATAACAGTGCAGCTGTTCTTATCGAATCAACCCCTCCCAACTTTAGTTTTATGAGTCAGGAAAGAATGCATAAGAAAGGGGGTGGAGTTGCTATTCTGTTCAATGATTCCCTTCAATGCAGGAAGACATCGTATGGAAACTTTGATTCTTTTGAATATGTGGCCCTTCAACTGAAATGCTCCTCTCGAGCTCTGTTCCTAAATATCTATAGACCACCCAAATACTGTGCAAGCTTTTTTGATGAATTTACTGAACTGCTGTCTATAGTGTGTATTGATTTTGACCGTCTAGTCATTGTTGGTGATTTTAACATCCATGTTGACAACCCCCAGGACAGAGGGGCTAAAGAACTGTTTTGTGTTCTTGATAGCTATGGACTGACTCAGCATGTGACGGAGCCCACGCACAATAAGGGGCACACTCTGGACTTAATTATCTCAAAGGGTCTGAATATCTCTAAGGTTGTGGTGACTGATGTTGCACTCTGACCATTCCTGTGTTTTCTTTGAGAGCTCTATTTCTGTTCACAAAAATGTTCAAAAAGAGGTAACCACAAAGCGATATTTAACTAAAAATACTAGGGAAATGTTTACTCAGAATTTTTCTTCCACACTTGCCCCTGCCAACATCTCAGTAAATGAGCTAGTAGATCATTTTAATTCAAAAATTAAAAATGTTATAGATGCCATTGCTCCAACTAGGTTAAAGGAAGTGTCTGGCAAGAAAATATCTCCATGGAGAAAGGCCATGAGCGTGAAAACAGAAAAAAGAGAATGTCGAAAAGCTGAACGCAGGTGGCGAAAAAACAAATCTCCAGGTTCACTTTGAAATCTATAAAGAGAGACTTGGCCTTTATAATTTGGAATTGAAAAACGCACGACAATCGTTCTTCTCTGACATCATTACCAAAAACAAAAACAACGCACGTGCCTTGTTTGCTACCGTCGACAGACTAACTAACCCCCCAGTGTCAGTAGCCTCTGAATTTCTATCCACCAGGGCATGCAATGATTTTGCCTTTTTCACTGACAAAATTCAGAAAATCAGACAAGCAGTCAGTGCCTCTGCATCAGGAACAGCAAATGTGTTGTCCCTATCTCCACTTAACATCAATTCAAACACCATGACACAATTCCATCAGATTCATGATAAAAACCTAGAGGACATTATTCAACTTCTGAAATCCTCCTCCTGCTGCCTTGATATTATTCCAACAGGATTTTTCAAAGATGTTTTTCCTTGCATGGCCTCAGATCTACTTCATATAGTAAACAAATCTCTTCACTCAGGTATTTTTCCACAGGCCCTGAAAACTGCAGTCATTAAACCGCTCTTAAAAAAGAATAATCTAGATGCTTCAGTAATGAACAATTACAGGCCCATATCAAACATTACCATTTCTAGGTAAAATCATTGAAAAAGTTGTTTTTCAACAGTTGAGTAATTTCTTGCATTTAAATAGCTGTTTGGATGTGTTCCAGTCAGGCTTTCGTCCAAACCACAGCACTGAGACTACTCTTGTAAAGGTCTTTAATTACATCCACTTAAACACAGACAGTGGCAGAACTTCAGTGTTAGTATTATTAGATCTTAGTGCTGCGTTTGACACTGTTGACCACAGCATATTACTAGACCGACTGGAAAACTGGGTGGGACTTTCGGAAACAGTTCTAAATTGGTTTGAATCCTACTTAAAGGACAGAAACAACTTTGTTTCTATAGGTAAATACACATCTGAGTTGACAAATATGACATGTGGGGTTCCTCAAGGCTCCATCTTGGGGCCTCTTCTCTTTAACATCTACATGCTACCACTGGCTCAGATAATGAAGAACAACAAAATAAGTTACCATAGCTATGCAGATGACACACAAATTTACGTAACAATTTCACCAGGATGCTCCAATTCAAACACTGAGTAAGTGCATTGAACAAATCAATGACTGGATGTGTCAGAACATTCTCCAATTAAACAAAGATAAAACTGAGGTAATGGTTTTTGGAGCCAAGTCAGAACGTATAAAAGTTAGCGCTGAGCTTCAGTCTGCAATGTTCAAAACAACAGATGAAGCCAGAAATCTAGGTGTAGTCATGGACTCTGACCTGAGTTTCAACAGTCACATTAAAACTGTTACTAAATCAGCCTACTATCACCTAAAGAATATATCTAGGATTAAAAGACTAATGTCACAGCAGGATTTGGAAAAACTTGTCCATGCTTTTATCTTCAGTAGACTGGACTACTGCAATGGTGTCTTCACAGGTCTCACTAAAAAATCTATTAGAAAGCTGCAGCTAATTCAGAATGCTGCTGCTCGAGTCCTCACTAACACTAAGAAAGTGGATCACATCACTCCAGTTCTGAAGTCTTTACACTGGCTTCCTGTGTGTCAAAGAATAGATTTCAAAATACTGCTGCTGGTTTATAAAGCACTGAATGGTTTAGGCCCAAAATACATTTCTGACCTCCTGCTAAATTAGGAACCATCCAGATCTCTCAGGTCTTCAGGGACTGGTCAGCTTTCTGTCCCCAGAGTCAGAACTAAACATGGAGAAGCAGCGTTCAGTTATTATGCTCCAAATATCTGGAACAAACTCCCAGAAACCTGCAGGTCCGCTGCAACTCTGACTACTTTTAAATCCAGGCTGAACACTTTTCTTTTTGTCGCTGCTTTTAATTGAACTATTCACATCTTAAACTGCACTGTAACTTTTATCCATGTATTTTTTCTTTTAATGTTTATTTTATTAGCTTTTCTTTTTAATGACTGATTTTAAATGCCATTTTCTTAATGTCTTTCGTTTTTTGTAAAGCACTTTGAATTGCCTTGTGTTGAAAAGTGCTATATAAATAAACTTGCCTTGCCTTGCCTTATAATTTGATGCCAATACTTTTGTATATTTACTTGCTCAAATAAGTAAGATTTTGAAATGCAGGACTTTAACTTGTATTTTTTACAAATTAGTAATACTACTATTGATTAAGTAAAACAACATGTGAGTAGTTTCTAACCCCCTGGTTTTATTGAATCCTCCTGTCAGTGTCTTCTCCCCCTGCCGCATACTGTAGAGCTCTGAGTCTGCAGATCAGAGCAGTGCCAGGACCAGGCGCCATGAATTATAGATTATGAACATTTGCAGAGATGAGCAATTCTGCTTCAGTGCAAACACACACACACATACACACACAGACACGCACACACAGACACACACACACACACACACACAGACACACGCGCACACACAGAGACACACACAGACACGCACAGAGAGACAGGCACGCACGCACACACACACACACACACACACACACACACACACACACACACACACACACACACACACACACACACACACACACACACACACACACACACACACACAGACTCCGTGTGTGTCAAGGTTGATGGGGGAGTCAGGCAGAGGAAAATATATAAGAAGTTGAGATAAATGGACAGATAAAAACAGGATAGGCTTTTGGCTGGGAGGCAGATATTTACTCCTGCAGGGGAACAGAGCAGAAATGCTGACTGTATGAACCTCCCAGATAATATGAACCCCAGCAGGGATAACTGAGCATCCTTTACTGCAACTAAAGCAGGAGCTGTGATGTCTCAGTTTCTGCATCCTCTTCCAGACATTAGTAGAGTCTACTTGCAAAAATAAACACGTACTGTCTACCTTTCCAGGCCTAAAGAAAGAAACCTGTCGATATGACACACAGTATCTGCCCCACAACACCGACAGAATCTGCTTTGATTCCAAAGACGCTGGCGGACAGAAATAGAATAGACCCTCCTGTGTCTCCAGCCATAAATCGCTGCTGTTGGCTAAAACAGCTAACCTCCTGTCAGCTAAAGTCCTCTGCCCCCCCCCCCCCCCTCTCCGCACACACCCCTTCACTCTCTACTCTTAATGGATCTATATATTCTCAAGTCAGGCTGTGGACCCTGATCTGTGCTTGTCAATACATTTTCTCCTGTTCATTTTCTTTAAGATGTATGTCCTCTCTCTTGTTGCTCGGTTAAATTACTGTTGTTCTAGCATGTCTCTGTGTGTGTGTGTGTGTGTGTGTGTGTGTGTGTGTGTGTGTGTGTGTGTGTGTGTGTGTGTGTGTGTGTGTGTGTGTGTGTGTGTGTGTGTGTGTGTGTTTGTGTGTGTGTGTGTGTGTGTGTGTGTGTGTGTGTGTGTGTGTGTGTTTCCCCCCCTCTTTCTTTTACTCCCTCTCCCTCTCTGTATTGTGTTGTCCTCCAATGTGTCTCTCCCTCTCACTCAGTCCACCTCTAATATTGCACTTTGCTCAATACATTTCTATTTTGTCCAATTTGCAGTTACTGGAATGAACCAAGATCACTACAAAGGCACCAACAACAACAACTGCAGTAAAAGTCTTCTCAGTGATCAAAAGGTAAGCGCCGATGTTTCATGGTTTTCAGTTATAGCTGACATGGAAACATTGTCCAACATAATGTGACTGTATTCATTTTCGAACATCGTATTTGTTTGCAGGATATTAAATTAGTAATGTTTCTGTTTCATGTGTACTTGTTCTCCAATTTTGTGTCTGTGTGTGTGTATGTGTGTGTTGCAGGAAAAGCTTATCCAAGCTATTAAAAGAATCAAGCACGAGGTAGACGAATGCAGGGAAGCAGAGAGGAAGACATTCATAGAGTCTTTGGGAGTAGAGGTATTGTTGCTGCATTATTAATCCTCATCTTTTACTAAAATACTCTCTTTAGACGCAGTTAAAGAGGTTTGACTAAAACTACATTTATATATACGGTAGAGGATTAGAGCCACATGTGAAAACATTTTTGAGATCTGACCAAAAGTGACATTTTCTTCTGACTTCTGAGAGAAAATAGATCAGATTTTTTTCAGAAATCTGACTTTGATCACAGAACTTAAAAACAACATATCACGTTTGATCAGCTCTCAAAACAATGTTAACATGTGTTCCTAATCCTACTCCGCACATACTGTATATTCTTTACAGTTCAAAAACAGAAAAGATGATCCATATCCTCACATTAATCATCTCTAAACTCCTCCTCTTTCAGAACAGTTTTGATGTCCTCAAACGAGAAGTCAGATCCGAGTTTGAGAACCTCCATCGTTTCCTGGATGAGGAGGAACGTAAGGATCTGGAGCGACTTCAGAGAGAGAGACAGAAACAAGTGAAGCCGCTGAAAGAGAGAGAGAAGAAAATAGCAGCGCAAGCGACAGACCTGGAGACAGCGATATCAGTCCTCAACAAAAAACTGACCGAGGAGGACCATCCCAAACTGCTCAGAGTGAGGAAGAGAATACATTAGCATGCAGAGATGTGGCTTATTATTAGCTTGAATATGCTGTAACCATTTCGACAGAGGGTGAGCTAATGTAAGATAGAGGTGTAAAATAGTTTGGACTCCCTTCCCCAGCAGCAGCGCCACACACGGGGTCACAAAGGGTCACTGCAAGCATTCCCCTTGGCCTGCGACAAATTTACCACTCGTGACTTGTCGAAATAACTGTCTATAATTGCTCCTTCTCTTGGAGCTGCTGGGAAAAAATGTGACTGTGCAGGTTAACATGACGAGCTGCAGAGCAACCCTGTTAGCTGTTCTGCCCCTCTTCCTCTGCACTCCTTTGAGCAATTACATTGATTGGCTAAACGGTTGACTTTCACAATCAATGTCTCATTTAAAAGTGAAAGGGAGTCAGCAAATAGGAACAGGCAGCAATCTGGCTGAGGTCAAAGCTTGTATTTTTAGTTCAAACTGAATCAATCAATCACATTTTATTTATAAAGTCCAATGTAACAAATTACACATTTGTCTGAAGGGGTGAACAAGAAAAAATTGACTCGGAGTTGAGCCGCTCCTCCTTCGCGTCGAAAGGAGCCAGTTGAGGTGGTTCGGGCACCTAGTTAGGATGCCACCTGGGCGCCTCCCTAGGGAGGTGTTCCAGGCACGTCCAGCTGGGAAGAGACCAAGGGGTAGACCTAGGACCAGGTGGAGGGATTATATCTCTTCGCTGGCCTGGGAGCGCCTTGGGATCCCCCAGTCAGAGCTGGTTGATGTGGCCAGGGAAAAGAAAGTTTGGGGCTCTCTGCTGGAACTGCTACCCCCCGCGACCCGACCACGGATAAGCGGGAGAAGATGGATGGATGGATGAATCAATCAATCACATTTTATTTATAAAGTCCAATGTAACAAATTACACATTTGTCTGAAGGGGTGAACAAGAAAAAATTGCTCTCAGAAAACCTGCCCCAAAATAATTAAAGACAACTGCAATAGTTGTTTATATGGATTAAAAAATATAATAACATGACATAATAGACGATGTGATTATTTCCACTAACTCTCCTGGGAATGTTTTGTCTCATTGCAGGAAATTCAAGATCTCATAAAAAGGCAGGTCCTCAACCAAACTGTTTTCGTCTCCCACATTTTCCCTTTCTCTCATTAATCTTCTGTGTGAGCATGCTGGGCATTTCCTCTCATTTCTGCACATCAATCCATCTCCATAACCCTCAAACTGTGGTGTGTTTACCCGATCGATGTTCCACCATTCATCATTCAGTCCTCCCCCTTCCTGCTTTGTCCTAACAGGTCTCAGGTCAGCTTCAAACCTCCAGCAGAGGTGGACACTGAGGTGCGCTCCGGACAGTTTGTGGGTCCCATTCAGTACCGGATATGGAAGCACATGAAAAGCTGGCTCTACCCAAGTATGTTCACACTATCTCCCATTTACATGTGCATGTGTGCAAACAAATTCAAACCTTAAACTTGATACATATCTCTCCAAACAAATGTGTCTCTGCCTTAAACGCCTCCATTGGATTCCTTTATTTACTTTTGAAACATACACTGAAAGACATCACTAGTATGTAACACTCACGCTTCTATTGGCCTGTGCCCAAACACATTGCACGTGATAGTGCTAAGGGGCGGGACATCTCTAAGCGGTTGACCAATCACAACAGAGCCGGCCAGCTAACCAATCAGAGCAGACTGGGCTCTGGTTTCAGACAGAGGGTGAAAAGAGTAGAGGCACTAAATACAAATATGAACCTTAAAATGAGCATAACAGGTTTTCTTAAAGTTCTCATCGACAAGTTGTCAGATTGGTCCCCGCCTCCCTTGTTCCCTAGTACTCTCCTCGCTGTGTTGCCATTATAGTTTGTCATTTGATTGACCACATACAAACTTACTGTATCTCTATTTGCCTACAGGTATAACATCAATGACCTTTGACCCTGAGACGGCCCATCCTAACCTATCCCTGTCCAAGTCTTGCACCTCAGTGTGGTTTGAGGAGGATAAAGACACGAAGGATTGCCAGCCCAACCCTCAGCGGTTCCACTATTATTACTCTGTGTTCGGCAACCAGAGCTTCACCACTGGACGGCACTACTGGGAGGTGGAGGTGGGACGTAAGACAGCGTGGAGGTTGGGCGTGGCGCGAGCTGACGTCCCACGAGGGGAGATGGACACGACAGGAACCTCCAACGGCATCTGGACTATGGCCATGAAGGGCGGGTCTGTGGTGGCCTGCACCGACCCCGAGCCCACGAAGGTCAACGTGTCCACCCGCCTCGTCCGCATCGGGTTGTTCTTAGACTGTGAGAAGGAGGAGGTGTCTTTTTATAACGCTGTCACCATGTCGCCTATTTACACCTTCTCCATGGAGTATGTCGACGTGGCTCTGTTCCCCTTCTTTAACCCGTGTGACGCAGACGAAGGGAGGAACGTGGCGGCCCTTAAGATTTTTAACCCTTCCATTTGATGCAGAGGTTTACAACACAAATTGTTCATTTCATGTTAATAAAACTACAGTATATATCATTTTTTGGGCAGGGCTTAAGAGACAAGATAATTAAGTGGCAACTATTAATTAAGTATGGTTAGTATAAAATCATTTTCATCTTGTGTGAAATAACAGCATTTCAATTTTCTTTGGACGTTTTTCAATTTCCTGTCATTTTAACAACAGAAGGATTAATTGATTGAGAAAAAGATGACTTCACCTCAATTTTGTTGTCACTTTTTTTGTACATTATACTGACAATATGATACATTGATTGAGAAAATAACATATTCATTTACAAAGAAAGCAATCGTTAGTTATCTACTTGTATACTGTGAATACCACTTGCTTAAAAACTGTTAAATGATTGTTCAGTACAAACATAAAACATGCCTATACAAGTATGTTTTCTGTTTTAAATGATCTTTTACAGTTACTTAAAAAGTAAAATACATATTTGCTTGAAATGAAGGTTGTTATCTGCTGCTGGCTCTCTGAGGTCCATAGCAAGTGTGAACATTATGATGTCACCTCCGTTCGGCTATAAATATCTCTGTTGTGGCTGCTTAGCTATGATGTGTCCTGCGAGGGTATAGAAGCTGGTATTAGCGGCACGTGGGGCCTGAAGGGTGAGAAAGTGGCGCGTGACACTGATGGCTGACATTGAGTGAGACGACTCACTGACAGGGAGAGAAACTGTTTGAGAATAGGAAAACAAAGACAAGAGGACGGCGGAAATGTCATAATCGCTTGTTTATTCTTAGTATTCCTTTAGACATGAAATAAAGAAACAACAAATATTTTCTTTACAAAACATCTGTGTGTGAAGTGTTGTGCAAAAAGGGAGTACAGAGAGATGTCACACCACACACACACACATTCTCACACACATATACGCACACACCAAGGCCAGAACAGCAGAAGTAAACAGAGAAGATCAGGGCAGAGATGACTCACATAGTGCAAGAAGTGGTAGTAAAACTAGTAGTGATCTATTAGTTATTGGTGGGTAACACACCAGAATCTCCAATAACCCACCAGACTGAGCCTTCTTTGAGATGCTGGCTTGTCCTGCCTCTCTCACAACCCTACTCACTCTGACTGGAGTGGCTTGGTATTACAATCACTGACAATAATACTGTACAGTAGCGGTGGTGCATGGGAATGCTTTTACGTCAGTCTCTCGTCAAATGCTCACCACAACCAAACCCTGTTGGTTACCCACACAAAGCTTTCATCTGATCACTCACTAACTCCTTGCTGTGCCACAGACTTGAATAATGCTATTTGAAACACCACTCACTTACAGAGCGCCATCAGCACTCATTATGCTACTTATATTAATCTGGAAAATCACTTTCATAGTTTTTATACATTATAGATATCTCCAAAGCATATCACAGGCCAGCCACTTGTTGTTCAGTCGGGTGTGTGAAAATGTTTCGTGAATACCCTACGTTTCAAGAAAAAGGTGCCATTAGGAGTGTCGGCAAATGACAAGAGGCACTAAACAAAGACAAGAGTCACTCAAATATCTCAAAGTTACGATATCTTTTACAATATTCTGTGGCTTTACACACATTCACACTTAAACACAGCACTTGGTTTCTTCATGTTGCGGGACGATTTAAGCAGGCACATGAATACCTCACTCGACAACACACACGGAGAAGCTCAAATAAAGTACAGTCGGGTCACTCGGTACACGCTGGCTATGCATAGATTCAGCACGCACAATAAACCACTCGTAACTCATTCACACGTGTGCGTCATAGGCAAAAACACAGAAACCCCAAACACACAATGATGGCAACATTGAAACGTCACTCCTCTGGACACACACAGGACGAGAAAAGCCTGTTTTTCATGTCGTGGGCATGCTGCAGCTTTAGGTGACGTAGGTTAAACATTTGAATACAACATGTAAATACTGTGAAGGATGCTGCGAGTACGGTCCGGTTGGCAATAACAGCAGATCTCAAAAGATCTAATATACTCTTTAATGGATTTTTTACAATATTTGGTTCTTAAATTAGTTCAAGATGTTAGTGAATATTAGTGAAGATAGATTATAGTACTGTGAGCGTATATATTTTATATTCTGGATTTAATTTGAGTGAGAAATGTTAAATTCTTCTTTATTATTCAGTATAATACAACAACCATTCTATACACTAGAAACATTCAGCCTGTAGGGGGTTACACCGGCGTACACATGCAATATTTACAAGGCTGGAATGTGTGTGTGTGTGTGTGTGTGTGTGTGTGTGTGTGTGTGTGTGTGTGTGTGTGTGTGTGTGTGTGTGTGTGTGTGTGTGTGTGTGTGTGTGTGTGTGTGTGTGTGTGTGTGTGTGTGTGTGTGTGTGAAGACAATTGTTAGTATTGCCAATATAGGTTTGTGTTTCTTTTACAGATCCAGGCTAGACATGAGGCCTATCCAGAGTTTGTGTAAAACATCTGACTATCTGATACTTTTTGTAAATTGAACATCGAGGCCCCTTCATTGTTTTTGTTTATTATATTTGTTGATCTTAGTATCAAATCTGACATCTAAACCTCCCTCATCATATGGTTCTTTAAAATGCTAAAGTGTCGCATTATATTAATTGAACTGTAAGAAAAATCTATTATTTAGGAAAGCTACCAAGAAATGTTCCCACATCTCACTAACTGAATTTCATGGCTGTCATTTTGTGCTTAATTGAAAAAAGTTTTTATAGATTTCCGTGCAATGAACCTGGACTTTCCATTGGTTGGTTAAAGTATGAGGCAGAGACATGCATTTTGTAACACTAAAATGTATCTGCACACCTCCCTCTACTATACAGGAGGTTCAGCTACGTTTGATCTGTGTTAAACAGCCACACAAATGATGCTGTGGCTTCCATAAATGCGTCATTGAAGTGTTCTGACCCATTGAAGAAACAGGAACTACTGTAAGTCACTGTCAACACAACCAAATACTTCAGAGGAAATATCTAGTTAGAAAGAACCAATAAGCCTTAATCAAATCTCTGTCAAAAGCTGTGTTTAAGAGACACCGCGAAATCATTTTCTGCTCTTACTTCCGGTAACATCAATGTAGATTGCAAAAAAAAACTCATCAGCAATATTTCTTTCCAGCTATCACAATAATCAAGATAATCCAGACACCTTGTTACGATCAGTTTAATGTAGAAACAACTGTATTACTGCCAAATTACACCCGCTCACGTGCAAAAGGAGGTGGATGCACGCTTCCCTTTGTAGCAGGTGTACTTTAGTAGAAAGAAACATTGCTGTTGTGTTTTTAATTTTGTTGGTACACTTGCGCACCACAAGCCAAGTAGCCTACTATGTTTCATTAAGAGAAGGGCAGACATCTCTACGGCAGGTATCTCCAACACTTGGCAACACACCAGAACGATTTAGATTATTGAACAGCACCACAGATAACAGAGCAAATATGCCTTCTGTGTTTTTGGGTGACCTGTCGCTTTAAGTAAGTAATGCTCCGCGACGGAAAGGAGAAAAGGGATCAAAAAGAAGGGGAAGGGTCAGGGAAGAATTACTTAATTAGTAGACAATGAAGAAGGGAAGATTGATACAAAAAAAGAAGGAACAAGCTAGCACGTGCTAACTTTTTGACCTCACCAGACGCTTTCATTCAGGGTTTCACCTTGGAAACACAGCGGGAACATGGTGTTCCTATTAAGTGCTGGAGTTGCTGCTGTTATAAGCTTGCTATTAAACTGAAGGAATAATGGGACTTTTATAGAGCCGCGGGGAAATCCAGATCAAAGGTAGCAAAGTGGTTGATCCGGACTTTAGGGATCAGTCGGCAAAACACATTTTAATCAGCGGAGATATCCATTGGGAGACTGAATATCAATATCAGAGGCTATAAATAGTAAAGTTAGTATTATTAGTTTGGTGAAGTTACGCAAAACTAATTGTTGTCCTATGTGATCATGTGCAGATGTTTCAGAGGCTTTATTTCTGCTGCAGTATGTAGGCTACAGCGTGTGATCAAAGCGCTTTAATTTTTTTGTTTTGATGACGTCCAATCTAAAAAAAAAATCTGAGTGGCTGTAAATTTCATGCATTTTATCCACATGCTGATAGAGGAACAAGCATTTTAGATTGGAAACTGCTATATCTGACAATACTTCCAGTATATTTTTGTTTTAATGTAATGTTGTAAACCTCTCTGGCTACCTCATTATGTTAGAAAAACCTTATGTGGAGTTTTATTTGTAAACTCTGCAAAGGAGTTTATTTGCAGTCTGACAGTTCTAATATAAAGTTACCAAAAAACAGATTTTAACAACAAGCCACATCTGTTACTGTATATGTATACGTTGTTATGAATCAAAAAGTCTCACAGGCTATGTGTTAGTTTGTGAGTTAGATACCGTTATCAAAGTAATATTGTGTTCAGGTGTTAGACATGTTGGACCGAAGTCCTCGCTCCAGTTTCAGTGGTTTCTTCATTATTTGGTGGGGGGTGTTCGATTGTCAGTGGTGGTAGATTGAGAATATCTGTGGGGCTTCCCTTGGTGTTTTGCAGGGGCAGTTCTCAGGTGGTGGTGGTGGTTGGATCCTCAGCCGCGGCGCCATCTTTGCTGGCCTCCATTGCAGCGCCACTAGATTTAGGCACGACTTCAGGGGTTTTCGGGGGAACTGCTTTTGGAGCCTCGATGATATCAATGTGATCCGGGCTGAGTTTGGAGTCTGGCTCAGGCGTACCGTTGGTGATGGGCTCGGGTGTGGTGGGCTTAGAGGGCTCAGGAGTTGGAGTCAGGGCACTTTTACTTTCAGGGGTTGGAGTCAGGGCACTTTTACTTTCAGCCGTTGGAGTCAGGGCACTTTTACTTTCAGCCGTTGGAGTCAGGGCACTTTTACTTTCAGCCGTTGGAGTCAGGGCACTTTTACTTTCAGCCGTTGGAGTCAGGGCACATTTACTTTCAGCCGTTGGAGTCAGGGCACTTTTACTTTCAGCCGTTGGAGTCAGGGCACTTTTACTTTCAACGGTTGGAGTCAGGGCACTTTTACTTTCAGCCGTTGGAGTCAGGGCACTTTTACTTTCAGGGGATGGAGTCAGGGCACTTTTACTTTCAGCCGTTGGAGTCAGGGCACTTTTACTTTCAGCCGTTGGAGTCAGGGCACTTTTACTTTCAGCCGTTGGAGTCAGGGCACTTTTACTTTCAGGGGATGGAGTCAGGGCACTTTTACTTTCAGCCGTTGGAGTCAGGGCACTTTTACTTTCAGCCGTTGGAGTCAGGGCACTTTTACTTTCAGTCGTTGGAGTCAGGGCACTTTTACTTTCAGGTAATGGAGAGGGGGCTTTCGGAGCAGGTGATTTGGGCTCTGGGCTCGGGGTGGGTGCAGGTTTTGGATCAGCTGGACTCAGACTAAACTTGGGCTCAGGGGTTGAAGCTGGGCTGAGCTTCACATCTGCAGGTTTGGGCACCTCTAGCTTAATCTCAACTGGTGGATCTGGGGTTTTCGTGGGCTCGGGGGTTTTTGTAGGCTCAGGTGTTGGAGGGGCTTTAGTTTTAACTACTGGACTTGATTTGACTTCCACAGCAGGAGGAGTGCTTGGCTTGGACTCGGCAGCAGCAGCAGGCGGGGGGGCTTGGTGGGGCTTCAGAGACGCTTACAGCCACAGAGTCGAGGTTATGATCGGCGGCATCAGTGTCAGTGTCCAGAGGGAGGGCGGTGTTAAACCCAACACCAGAGTCACTGGTGTCGAGGTTACCGATCCCAACCTCTTTAGAGGAAACCTCCAGACCCTGAGATTAAAACAGACAACAAGGTAAGGCAGGTTTATTTGGATCGCTTCCCCTTCAACAACAAGGCACTTCAAAGGGCTTTACAGAAGACATAAAAAGATGTTAGGACAAGGTAAATCAGACACAAAGGGATATAAATAGATACATAAATAAAATGGTTTAATAAGAGGAGAAATTATTGAAACAGGTCCCCGCTCAGCTACAGTGCAGTGCAAGAAAGAGTCCAAAATGAAATGTAATTATAGGAAGAGGCAAACAGAAACTTTATAAGGAGTTGTTTAAAAGAACGGAGATCTGGAGCACGTCTCTGATCTTCTGGGAGTTTGCTCCAGATACTGCCCACTGTTTTATTATAGTCAGGGCGGTAAGCAGGCCAGTCCCAGAAGACCTGAGAGGTTTTGGATGGTTCATAACATAGCAGCAGATCCAAAAATCTATTTGGGCTCTAAAGCATTCATTGCTTCAACCAACAGGAGTAGATATAAAATGAATTCTTCACTGCAAAGATCTGAGACCTGGACTGATGCGATCCGCTCTGGTGAAGTGAGAGAGGACTCTAGCAGCAGCGCTCTGAATAAACTGCAGCCGTCTGAACGCAGGAAATAGTTTAGTCAATTCAGACATTATTAAAACCTCTCAAAGACTTAAGAAAGAAATGTTAAATATCCTTACTTTGATATCCACCTCAGTGCTCTGGGACTTCTCTGTGTTGTCGGCCTGGGAGTGCTTGGAGTCTTCACTGAGTTTGGTGATGTTCTTGACCACCTGAGAAAATGCACACAGACAAGAGTAGTCATGTAATGATATCAGGGTAGAGTCTTTGTGTAACTCTGGCACAACAATCTTATATGTTTCTTATCTTATAGAGGTGGTGGACACTAAGTACATTAAAGTCAAGTACTGTATTGAAAGCAGAGAGCATACTGGCCTCTCCAGGTCATGTTCTTGCAGATCAATTTAATCTGTTGCCATCAGGGCTCTTAAGAAAAATCGTTTTTCAAAATCATTCATCCCCTCTGCGCTCAAACTTTTAAATTCTTGATAGGCTTTTTAACTTGATTATTTATTTATTATTGTCATGCTATGAACTATTTATGGTGTCAATTGGAATGATCCACATCCAGGCTCTCGGGTGTATCTGTGTGCTTTCTTCCTGTATGTTCCTGCCTGTGTACATGACATAAGCTGCTCATAACTAATTGCCCCTTGCGGGATCAATAAAGTTGTTGATTGATTGATTGATTAATTAAGAAAGTACATTTCTAAGGTACTGCTACTGTGCTTGAGTATTAGCATTTTACTACATTAAGTACTTTTTACTTCACTACATGTATTTAAAGATTCAGATTTACATTCTTAATACAAAACAAAATCAACAAATAATGGATTATTGTTTAATTAAATGAAAGACTAAATATTATTGATCCTGTAGTGAATTTCAAAAGCCGTATTTATAGTTAAAAAAGAAAATAAGCTCTATCTTTACCAGCTGCAACATTAAAGTGATTACTAATGGTTTAATCATTTTATATAAAAAACAAAAAGATTGGTGCAATTCTAGAAGGGTCTGTTGTGCAGAACATATATTTACTTTTGGTACTTTAAGGGGGCCTTGTTATGCTAATTCTCATGTTCCTATTTGAATTCGCAAGTGTTACTTAGTGATGTCATTATGTCATAGAAGTAAACAAAGGAGTCCAATGGAGATGTTTCAGGCATGTGGGAGAGAAACTTGGGGATTGTAGCCTTTGCAGACATGCTTAAAACCAATATAACACACTACAGGAAAGGCAGAAGTCTTAAAAGCAAAAATAAATCCTCTTTAACAAACAATTAGATTGAAGGATTTTACTTTTAGCAGATGATATGTTATGGTCGTGCTTCCTGAACTTAAGTAATTTAAGATGTCTGTAGTTCATCCACCACTGCAGGATAATCATCATCAACATGACCCTCTTCCTGTTATATGTCAATGTCATTAGGAAAAGCGCTATAAAAATCCAATGTATTATGATTATTATTATTATTATATGTACGGCTGTGGCTCAGTGGATAGTGCTGGACTTCGAATCAGGGGATAGCAAGTTCAAACCCCACTGCAGTCAGCATGTCGTTGTGTCTCTGGGCAAGACACATTGCTCCTGTGGGGATTGTCCACAGTACTGAATGTATGTAAGTCGCTTTGGATAAAAGCGTCTAACAAGTGACATGTAATGTAGTACAAGTGTGCATTTGTCCCCCCCCACCTGTCTGAAGGCCTCTCCCTCGTCCTCCCCTGATTTATGGGCGATCTTCTCCAGGGCCGCTCCCCTCTGCCCCCTCTTCTTCACTTTGTACAGGCAGGACAGCAGACACACCAGCAGAAGGAAAGCCAGGAAGCCCAACATGGCAATGATGGCCACGTACAGTGACTCCAGTCTGTAGGCTGTGTGGAGGCAACGTGGGAAAAGGTGGAAGAGCTAATAATTCATCTAACATTTCATTGATGTATTCAAATTCCAGTTTTCAGCCACAAAACATCCATCCTTCAGCAGCTACCACACCAATATTAAAGGTCCCCTAGTATACTGTTTTTCATCCATATATTAAAGGTCTCAGATATATACAAACATGTATCTGAAGTGCTCCAAACCCCAAACAGATCATTGCAGCATTACCCATAATCCCCTCTGTTTCAGCCCTGTTTCCAAAGTGCTGATTCTCTGTCTGTTACTTCAGATGAAAATAAGGAGCCCCTCCCCACGCCCCTCTGAGAGATATTTGGTTACAAAGAACTCAATAGCACACCACAGGACTTTCCCTGGTACTTTGGTTCTTTAGTTCCGTTAGTACCAATAATGTCGCGTTCACACCGCCTCAGTGCCGGGAACTCTTTTGGCCATTTTCAGTCCCTGCTAGAGAGGTGGTACGAACCTGGTGATAAAAGAGTGCCAATTTATATTCTATTTCTATTGGCTGGGCGAATTGCAAACCACGCCCCGTTAGACTCTGAATTGTTTTTGTTAGGCAGCCATTTTTTTCCTCGCTACAAAACCACATCCACACCTGAGCGAATAGTTTTTTTGTACTTTAAAGCAGTTATGACCACACGTACTACAACACCGGAGCGGTGGAATGATGAGGAAGTGTCGGCGCTTCTGGCAATTTACTCCGAGGACGGGATGCAGCAGCTTCTACAGAAAGCAGTTCCCAACTCCAAATGTTTTGAGCGATGTTCGCAAAAGCTACTTGAGCTGGGAATCGTGCACAGTGCACAGGATGCCGGGTAAAAATAAAGAAACTCAGGCAGGACTAAACAAAAATTAAAGACCACAATAATAAGAGTGGTAACGATTTTCTATTGTTATTATATATATATATATTGCCACTGTTTTTTAATACTGACACCTAACTTGCACTAAGGTGTGTCTGCTGCTATATATATTGCCACTGTTACATTGTTTTGAAACTACTTACACTTTATTTTACATTTCACACTTTTATTTAACTTCAATTTACGTCAATTTACACACCTGGAACAGCGTGATGCCGTTATTGTTATGTCTTGACTGTGCAATAAAACAAACAAAATGGCGAAGCTTTATTTATTGTGTCCCACCCCAAATTTGCAGAATAGAAGAATGTGAGAGCAGACAGGTACCTTGGTTGCTGATTGGCTAATGGTTACACAAGCCAAAAAATCGTTATGACATCATCAAGTGGCCAAACTCTGATCAGCTCGTTTTCAGACAGGTTTTTATAGAAATGGATCAGGACAAAAAGAGAGAGAATCTTTTTTCCTGAAACTTTCAGAGTCTCTTTCCACAGAGGGGACACATGTTGATGTAGAAGAGACATGAAGAAGAAGGGACACATGTTGATGTAGAAGAGACATGAAGAAGAGGGGACACATGTTGATGAAGAAGAGGGGACACATGTTGATGTTGAAGAGACATGAACAAGTGGATTTTGCATGATATAGGTGACCTTTAAGATCTAACATTATTTAGCTAATTTTTCAATCATTCCTTATCAGCCACATCCCAGTCCTTACGCAGTAGTCCCAGGTGGGTGGTGGACACGGTGAAGCCCAGTATGTCGGTCACTTTGAACTCGCCCACATCAGAAGCTTTCACCTGATCCAGAAAAATCCAAGAACCATCCATATAGAGACGCTCCTCGAAACCCAGATCTGCTTGGGCCTAGAAGAGACACATTTATACATTTAACATAAAAAAACTGAAAGATACAGATGCCATTAATAAATGATGCAATAGAGAAAATACCGTAAAACAACAATCCTTATTGTTTGTAAAAGACTAAAATGTAGAAGTTAACTTGATATCATGAGTACAAAAGGTGAGTCATACTGGATTAAATGTCCATTACCAGATGAACCACAAAAAAAGTGAAATTTTGGCTTGACATAGACAAATTGTGGGACTTAAAGGTGGGGTAGGTAATTTTGGAGAAACCAGCTCGAGTGCGCTAGAATTTGAAAATACACAGCCGGAACAAATCTGCCACTTCCTTACAGAGCCCCTCCTCCAACACACACATGACCAATGAGGGCACGAGATAAGTTTGTGCACAGATGATTGGTCGTGCTTTTTACAGCCCCACGGCTTCCACAGATGAATTTTTTAATGGATTTTTTGTCAAAGCACTTCAGATATTCATTGCTATCGGGATGTTAAGAGCATTCCATGGAATATAACAAAAAGTGTATCTCGAGCCGGTTTCTCAAACTTACCTACCCCACCTTTAACTTGATATCATGAGTACAAAAGATGAGTCATACTGAATTAAATGTCCATTACCAGCTTTTGTTTGGCATAAAACAGCTGCTGCTAAATTATTAAATTATTCACAGGTTATAGCTTTAAAAAAAGTGAAATATTGGCATGACAAATTGTGGGACTTAAGTGTCATATAAAGAATAGAATCCAGGATTATTTGGCTTAGGTTGAAAGCCAAAAAATATAAATTCAGTTAATAATGTAAGCCTAAACAATACAAATCTCATAAAATATAAGGATTTTGCATTGTGAAAGAGTGTCTATGGTGTGTCTACGGGCGGCTGTGGCTCAGTAGAGTGCTGGACTTCTCAGGGGGTACCAGGTTTGAGTCCCGCTGCAGTCAGCATGCCGTTGTGTCCCTGGGACCCCAAATTGCTCCTGTGGGGATTGTCCACAGTACTGAATGTATGTAAGTCGCTTTGGATAAAAGCGTCTAACAAATGACATGTAATGTGTTAATCCCTAAGGTTTCAAAATCCTCTTTTCATAAAATACACAACTTGTTTTCAAACACATAGAGGATTTCTATTGTAAATCACATTTAACCTACAGTCATATCAATTCTGTTATGTTCCTACTTTAAAAATTATTTTCACATCAGTTTCTTCATCCCTGACGTTAAATACAGGGACTAAAGTAATCACAACAGTAATGGGACTAAAATGAATAAAACGGCTTCAGTTACACTTGTGAATTCTCCCTTGTCCAGCAGCAGATGGGGTGTGTGGTCGTTGTCGGAGGTGTAGTACAGGTGCACCAAGGAGCTGTTGAGTATCAGGTGGATCTTCAGAGTTTTACCGCGGTGCAGCTTTACAAAGTTCTGATGCTCTGCGACACAGAGAGACAGAGAAGGGAGGACGTAGGATGAGGACGTAGGATAAGTACATCGCAGCGCTGTTTACATGAATAATCTAAAATGCATTAGCCTGCTAGAGTCCATTAACGTTAGGGTCTTTAAAAAGCCATTACGGCAGACAGAAGGAGCGTAATAACTAGAGATGAAACAACAACAACATCCTGATGGAAGGTGGGGACCGTTTAAAACAGCTCAAGCGTGGAAGAAAAAAAAAGATATACGATCAGTCTTCATTTGCACTTTTACCTTTGACATTGAGACACACTTTCCTCTGGATCACACCTTCAGCATCCCTGATGGTGTAGCTGCCCTCGTCGGCCCCGGAGACCGCGCTGAGCGAGGCGTGGCGCTCGCTGACGGTGATGCGTCCCTGGTATCCGTCCCTGGACATCCCGGTGTTGGTCAGCAGCATCAGAGCAGGTCTGAGGAGCAGAAAGTCAGGCAGGGTGAACTTTCCTTAACCTTTCTCATTCAAAGAAGACATATTCTGCTCATTTTCTGGTTCATATTTGTATTTTGTGACATGTTTCCATGCTTTAATGTTCAAAAAGGTCCTTATTTTTCTCATACTGCCTCTTTTCACCCTCTGTCTGAAACCAGAGCCCAGTCTGCTCTGATTGGTTAGCTGGTTGGCTCTGTTGTGATTGGTCAACAACTTAGAGGGGGAGAGAAACTTTGGGATTGTTGCCTTTGCAGACCATTTACATGCACAAAAGCCTATATAACATACTACATGAAATGGAAGACCCCAAAAAGCACAATAGGGGCCCTTTAAGTATTTTACATGTTATGCATATCAAGGTAGGAAAATGGCATTTGAGATTCAGTTTGGGTTAAAATATCTAAATATAATACATAGTGTGTTTTGCTGACTCTACCTGGACGTCTGGTTGGCCTCCACAGCACTGGGCCTGTACTCCAGGGTGACGGGGGGGGTCAGCCCCAACAGCGGAATATTGAAGTGTTCTCCATATTTAACGATCAGCTCGTTGGAGCAATCTAGAAAGTAAAATAAGGGTGGTTTAGAGCAGTGGTTCTCAACTGGTCAGGCCTCGGGACCCACTTTTTCCGAAATTTTGAACCACTCAAATCTATTCAACAAAAACTCGTGCTGTAATATATACGCTTTTCAGCATACATATACATATTAAAGTGAAGTACAGTGCATATATCCCTTATATCCCTTCACAGAACTAAAGTATGCTTTAAAAGAGGTTTAATGAGATGATGGAATTCAAAGCTGAACTGTATAACATAAAAAGGCACACATGCTGAAAACCCAACCCCAGCAGGGGGTCTGGGGGGATTCTCCCCCAGAGATTTTTAGAAATACTAACATATAAACTACGCACGTACACTCTGAGAAGAAAATAAATAAATAAATCTATTACTACCCGACATTTTAATAATATTTTATGCCATTGTTTGTTTTTCACTTTGTTCTGACAGCTGAACTTGTCTGTGTGAATTGTGGGTAGGGTAGATAGCCCCCATTGTTCTGTGTCCTGTCAATCATCAAACCGGGGGTCATATTTCATTATGTGTTCATTTGTATCTGAAGTTGTACCCATGGATGTATAAAGAGTAATTCTACCGCAAAGTTATTCTCCGTGGGGACTTCCGGCAACAATCTTGATTCTGATTGGCCAGAAGACTCGAAAAAACATCAGCAAAGATGTTTTATTGAGAAGATGATCACTACGTGACAGAAGTTTTCAAAACCGTTTATGGTCTCCGGTACTTCCAGTCCAACGCCTACTGCATGCACAGCGTTAGAAAACCGGGCCTTCAAAATAAAAGTTAGACTTTTAAAAAAAAAAAAAAAATCTTTTTCTTTTTTCTTCACTCACACATCTGCGGCCCACTCGAAACGGACCCACGACCTTTGAGGCTTTGAGTAAAGGCTTTGAGTAAAGTTAACTAGAATTAGCACCCAGCGATTGTTTGCCTCTGCTAAGTTGCAGTTTACATGTCTGTCCAAAATATCATCACTGCATTGTTTTATCCTTCTAGACTCCTGTGTATAGTTGTCTTATTAAGCATGTGATTTGTTTGGTTATTGCCCAATCATTTGTGACGTTACAGTGACCTTGACCGAATAGTATCAGTTCACCCTTGAGTCCATTTGGATGGATGTTTGTACGTTACAGCTGTTTAACGAATGTACAACAAGAAACCATAATGCCTGCAGCCATTGCTGTTGCAGAGCCATTACATGATAGAAATAGAGGAGCAGTGAGAGAAAGGACAGATAGGGGGTAAGGAGTGAGGGAAGGGAGAGGGAATGGCTTGACAGATGTGGCAGAAAGGGGGGCAGATTGCAGAGAAAAGAGCACTGATCCAAAAATATCAAGGCAGCTGAAATGAAAGGGTAGGGATACAAACCAAGCAGAGGGAAAGGCAGCAACGACAAGATAAAGAGAGGAAAACAGCAGGAGGGAAGGAGAGAGGAGTGGGCTGGTGGTTAAAGCGCTGCATAATTACTGCCTGGCAGATCCTCACACTTTCAGAACACACACACAAACACACACACACCTCTTCATCAACTCACAACACATTACGCCCTCCATATGGCACATCTTGCGCACATTGCTACGCTACAGTTGCATTTATCCACGCTGGATTTGAGCCCACTGCCTCCCTCTCTGTGTGTGTGTGTGTGTGTGTGTGTGTGTGTGTGTGTGTGTGTGTGTGTGTGTGTGTGTGTGTGTGTGTGTGTGTGTGTGTGTGTGTGTGTGTGTGTGTGTGTGTGTGTGTGTGTGTGTGTGTGTGTGTGTGTGTCTAATCCCATCACAGTCACAGACCAGAGTCTACACTGGTGCAACTTGTAACACTCGGAGGACAAACACGATGTGTAACTGAGAGGTTTATTTAGCTGCTGCCTGCATGAATAAAGCCGCAGAAGTGACAGCGCCGACACGACCACCACGACCACCACGACCACCACGACCACCACGGCCACCACGGCCACCACGGCCACCACGGCCACCACGGCCACCACGGCCATCACTGACTCCAGATCAGATATCAGAAGCATCCAGTGGTGCTATTCAGATACCTTACTTAAATAAAAGTACCAATAACTCCCTGCTAAAACACTATATTACAAGTGAGAGAGAAGTGTTTAGAGGGCGTTGAATTACTATCAGCAGCAAATTAAAACAATTTAGATATACATATAAATGCAATATTAAGCTGTAAAGCCCTGAGACAAATGTGTTTTGTGATAGTAGGCAATATAAATAAACTTTGATTTGGTTTTGAATTTCACATATGAGTGTTATAAACTCCAGTTCGGCCTGCGATAGTGTTGCATGCAGTTGATGCTATGCTTCATTACCATTCATAATGTATAACACACTCTTCCAGTACCTCGGACAATAAGTGTGGTGCGCTGAACGTCCTGGAGCGTCTCCGGGTTCTTCACCGTGTAAACACCCTCGTCTCCTTCGTCCACAGCGTCGATGATCAGGTGGCTGAGATGGCTGTTGAGTTTGGCCCGACTGTTGACCACGATGCCGCCGCGCATCAGGAACACGTCTCCGGACCGCGGAGAGGAGCGGTTCCTAAACGTGACCTCCAGCGCCAGAGAGGGCAGCCGGATGTGGTAGTCCTCCCCGTGGAAGAAGGTCTGGAAGTCCTCCTCCACTGGATCGTACCAAGGAGATGATAGATGATAACTTTTTAAATGTTTAATGCTATTTTATTTCTATTTCTGAAATATTTTGGACTGTTTATTTCTTGTGTCTTAATTTCTCTTATGTACATCCATCTATCTATCTATCTATCCATCCATCCATCTATCTATCTATCTATCTATCCATCTATCTATCTATCTATCATTCTATCTACCTATCAATCATTCTATCTACCTATCAATCAATCTATCTATCTATCTATCTACCTACCTACCTACCATTCTATCTATCTATCTATCTATCTAAAATGGTCCTTTATTAATCCCGTGGGGAAATTCAGTAGTTTAAACAGCAACAGGGTAAGATTGAAAAACAGGACAGCACAGATTACAATTAAAGATCAAATTAAAATGATATACAGTTAAGTAACTTTAAAATAAGAAATGAATTAAATGAACGTATATACATATTTGTGAGTGATGACAGACCAGTAACAGGACAACAACAGCTCCTAATTCATAATGAATGAGTCAGATGAACTGGTACACAAAGTCTTACCATTCACAGGTGCAGAAAGAGCTGTAAACAGAGATAAGAGAAATACAAATCAAAAGAAATATCAGTAATATAATGACTCATTTCTTTATCAGTTGTGCAATATAGGCCCTTTCTTCCTGTTTTTAAATTGTTACACCATATTCTTCTGGCTTACTCACATATTGTCTGTTAGAATGTTCCAGCACCATCAAACTGTCCTTTAATATCAAATCAAACAATGTTTCCTGAGCAGATAAACACAGTGTAGTAGTAGGATCACCTGACTGCCTAAAGAGTGAACACTGACAGTTGTGCAAAAAAACATTTAATATCTTTCCAGATCACTATAGAGGAAACATATTCAGATACGTAATGAACATACCTGTAGTGAGCAGGACGCTGAGAGCGATCACACAGACTGCCGCCATCCTGGATGATTGTTTTGTACCTAGGAGGGAAAAGGGTAGAGTGTGAATTCATAGAAAGTCAACAATATAGGCAAGGTCATGTTAACAGTTTCATAGTCTGTGCAGATATATATAAACGGAGCAGAAATAGAACTAGTCCCCCACTTCAAGTATCTTGGAGTCATACTGCACTCGAACTTGACTTTTAAGAAACATCAAGAAAGTATCCAATACCATTAAATTCAACTTGCAAAATGTTAAACAAATCAGACCTTTCTTAACTGTCAATGCTGCAAAGTCAGACCTCCACTGTGTGATTCTATCCCACATTGAATACTGTTTGACAAACTGGTCGTTTGCTTGAGCCACAAACCTGAAACCCATAGAACAGCTAAGAGAGCTATCCAGGTGTTTGACAGAAAGCCACATTCATACCATCACTGTACCATCCTAGAGAAACAAAATGTCTTGAGTTTTGACAATTTTAAGTCTTTTAAAAGTATGTGCTTTATTTATACATGTTTACATGTTTACATGGACTGCCCCCCCCCCCCCCCTTAGGGGAATTCATCCACAAGAAACACACTGGACGCTGCACTAGGTCAGAAACCAGAGGAGACTGTGAAGTCCACCGCAGACGGACCGCTTTTGGACAAAATGTCCTCTCCGTTAAAGGCAGCTCTTTGTGGAATAGCCTCCCAACTCAGATACTGGATTGTCCCACTCTTTAAAAGTCAACTCAAAGAATGGTTGAGAAACAAACAGATGTGCAATCACTGCTAAATGCACTTTAACACAGGGGCATCTCCTCCTGCACTTTAGGTAGCTCTTGTATCATCTCTTGCACTTAATATATCGTAGATGCTACATTGTATTACCATGTGGTTAATGCTTGTGTGCTGCTCAGGCTCTTTCTGCATATCATGTATTTATGTTTGCTATGTATATAAATGTCAGGTTCTTAAATGTTGTATGTGACGGACTACGGATGGAAATTAGCTCAAAGCTAAAATCCGGCATGTTTTAAAGCATTATTTGTTTTAAATGTTCATCAATATGAATTGTCCCTCTTCAAATAAACTATTAAATGAAAAATGAAATATTCAGTATTTTTCTGTTCTCTTTTTAATATTGTGTTTCAAGGACAGGTAGATTTCGCTCCAAATGGTTGCCTTTTCTCATATAAACAGGTGAAGGACTTAATCCCTGGATGATATCACTCAATGATGACTGAAGCATCCACTGAGGCACTCACCTAGAAACTGAAAGCATCTTTTTATTCAAAGTGTCAGATTTTCTTTAAAGTAGAATTTACAAGATTTGGAAAGTTATTGCTGTAAATTTCAATATTAGCAGAAAATAATAATAACCTCCATCATACGTTCAGCTTAACCCCAAATAGACTCAAATGAATTGGATCTAGGTGCAGCAACAAGCTATTTTTAGGGAATAGCATAGGTCTCAGATATAAAAAAATATTAGGGCTGTCAGTCGAATAAAATAGTTAATCGCGATTAATCGCAAATTAATCCCAAATTTTTGATCTGTTCTAAATGTACCTTAGAGGAATATTTTTCAAGTTTTTAATACTCTTATCAACATATGAGTGGACAAATATGCTTTATGCTAATGTTTATTATCATTTGAACAATGACAAATATTCTCATGAATATTAAACACAACAACCTCGAACATTACAAATATTCGCCTCAATTCAACCTGGAACCTCTCTCATTCAATAATACAATACAACTGGTGTGTGTGTATGTATGTGTGTGTGTGTGTGTGTGTGTGTGTGTGTGTGTGTGTGTGTGTGTGTGTGTGTGTGTGTGTGTGTGTGTGTGTGTGTGTGTGTGTGTGTGTGTGTGTGTGTGTGTGTGTGTGTGTGTGTGATGGATCGTTGGAGCTATGTGCAACTCAAGGCATATGCTCGAACGGGAGCTGCCTGGACGCTGCAATCATGTTGCGCACTATCCGTGCTGAGTGTGCTGACTGTTCGTACAATGTCCCACTGTCTGGCTTCCTGCATAAAGTCAAGTGCTCGGCGCAGTTGTGGCGAAATGTCGCTCCTCTGTTTTCATTTAAACAGCTCGATGTCAGTTAGCGCAGCTAGCTAGCACCAGATGCTAACAACAACAATGCACATAAGGTCTCTCTCTCGCTCGCTCGGGGCACACATACACACACCCTCCCGGTCCTCCCAACAGCCAGTCGGTGCCTGCCGGTGAGCGTGGAAGTGTGCTCTGCCACAAGCGGGCGGCAGGAGCGGGGCTGTCAGCATCAGCTTGTAGATGGTATTTTAAACTCGATGCGCTCTGAAACTACGGGGCGGCCGAGGAAAAAAAATACACATGCGTTAATCGCGTTAAAATAATTGGTGGCGTTAATTTTTTTTGGACCGGGCCCAAACAACATTTCCTCATCATTGTTTCCAGAGGCAGGTTTCTGAGGAGATTGATTGCAGCTCTGAGAGGGATATTGATGTTGTGACTGTGAGACATCAGAGGCAACACCTCTAAAGAAACTGTGGTTTTCATTTTAAAATCCAATCCAATCCACTTTATTTATATAGCACAGTTTAAAAACAGAGGGTTTGCCAAAGTGCTTCACAATGAACATAACATTATAATAAAATATAATATTACACGAATAGATAAAAAGCACACATAAGAAAAGATAAAAAAGCACACATAAGAATAAATACAAGGCACATAAAGGCTATGGACAGACAGTAGAAGCATACAAATAGGTATGACATAGCTCAGACTGACTGGTAAGCGAGGGAAAAGAGGTGGGTTTTTAGGCGGGACTTAAAAACTTCAAGAGTGGGCGACAATTTAACCTGAGGGGCAGGTCGTTCCAGAGCCTGGGGGCTACCGATGAGAACGCTCGGTCTCCCCTGGTCTTTTGTTTTGTTTTTGGGACTACAAGCAGCAGCTGATCAGCCGACCTCAAAGCCCTTGAGGGGGTGAACACCTGTAAGAGGTCGGAGATGTACTCTGGGGCCAGCCCATTAAGAGATTTAAAAACAAACCATAAAATCTTAAAATGGACTCTAAAATGGATAGGAAGCCAGTGGAGCGAAGCCAGAACTGGTGTGATGTGGTCAAACTTGCGGGTTCCTGTGAGCAGCCGCGCCGCAGCGTTTTGTACAAGCTGCAGGCGGGCCAGCGAAGTCTTATTTAGGCCGGCATAAAGTGCATTACAATAATCTAAACGAGTTGAAACAAAGGCATGAATTACACGCTCAAAGTTTAAAAAGGATCAAACCGGTTTAATTTTGGACAGGAGCCTCAAGTGATAAAAACTGGATTTAACCACAGAGTTTATCTGTTTATCTAATTTAAAAGCACTGTCGATTTTGACACCCAGATTTGTGACCATGGGTTTTGCAAACTGTTGCAGGGAACCCAGGTCAATGGAAGGGACATCACCATTTGGTCCAAACACAATTACCTCCGTTTTGCTCTCATTTATATTTAAAAAGTTTAGCACCATCCAGGCCTTTATGTCATTAAGACAGTCAACCAGGGGCATCAGAGAGCTAGTGTTTTTTCTTAGGGGTAAATATAATTGGGAGTCATCCGCATAAAGGTGGTAGGAGACGCCATATTTTCTAAAAATCAGTCCAAGGGGGAGAAGGTATAAGGAAAATAAAATAGGCCCCAAAATAGAACCTTGGGGAACTCCACAGGATAAGGGGGCAGAAGAGGATGTAAAGTCACCAAGCGTAACAGAGAAAGATCTCTTGGACAGATAGGACCTGAACCACTCTAAGGCAGTGCCCCTGATACCCACACAGTGATCTAGACGAGAGATAAGGATGGAGTGGTCAATCGTATCAAAAGCAGCTGTGAGGTCTAAGAGCATAAGGATGGCAGAGTCACCAGGGTCTGTAGTGACCAGGAGGTCATTGAATACTCTTAGAAGGGCAGACTCAGTACTGTGAAGCGCTTTAAAACCGGATTGAAAAATATCGAAAATATTGTGTGCATGTATAAAAGACTGCAGCTGTAAGAGTACGGTTTTCTCCAATATCTTTGAAATAAAAGGAAGCTTCGAGATGGGTCTGTAATTTGAGAAGACAGAAGTGTCCAGATTAGTTTTCTTTATCAGGGGTGCCACAACCGCTTGTTTGAAATAAACTGGCACAGAACCGGACTCTAGGCTGCTATTTATAATGTTATGGACATTAGGTCCAATAGTGTCCCATACCTCTTTAAAAAGTCGAGGAGGGACTGGGTCTGTGGGACAAGATGAGGGTTTTAATTTAGCAACAATGTCACTGAGAGATGACAACGACACAGGTCCAAACTGCTGGAAGACAGCAGTGCATGTTAAGTCAATGGAGGGGTCAAAAGAGGGTGGTGAGATACTGGCTCTAATAGTGGAGATCTTGTCTATAAAATAGCAGAGGAATTTTTCACACATCTCAGTTGAAGCATCAATATAAGTGGATAAAGAAGAGTTTAACATAGCATCGATTAAAGAGAACACGAGGTTTGTTACTAGAAATAATATCAGAAAAGTAACTCATCTTTTCAGCTTTTACAGTGCTCTGATACTTTCTCCAACTCTCTTTCAAAATGTCACGAGTTACATGAAGCTTGTCCTTCTTCCACCTGCGTTCAGCCTGCCGGTGTTACCGACCAAGATGTGGCCCGAACAACTGGTGATATTCTATAACGGTATAGGCAGATTTATCAGGGGCGTGGCCTTTGTCGAATAACCAGGAAATACACATTTCGATCGCTTCTTCTGTCGTTTACATAAATCTTTTGGTATATTTGGCTCCATAGGAACACTTTGATGCACTTTCAGTACCAGTGTGTGAGGTTGTGGTTGCGATGCCGATATGCGGACGTGTACAGCGAGGACTACAAAAAGACACACGAGGTGACTGGGGATGTGTGTTCAAAACATTGCAAGCTTGAATAAATAATTTAAACCATTTATTGTTGCCAGACTTATTACTGAATATCATGCTTAATGTGATACCAAGTCCATCTGAGACCTGTGTACACCTTCAGACAGCCTCCAAGTGAAGCACACATTGTTTACTCACAGTTTGAAAGCAGCGTGGACAAGTCTTCAGCTGTGGAGAGCTCCGCCCAGGATAAACTGTGATACGACTTCCGTGGCTTGTTCTTGTTGTCAGTCTTATATTTGTATCATGTATCGTTATTAATATGATGTCGAGTTGATTTGAGACCCGTTTATAACCTTGATTCCCTTATATATAAGGGACGTTATCATGAGAAAAGCATATGCAACCTCATAATAATTTTACGAATGTGCTTAATTATTCATACAAAACAGTTTAATCTTACATAACCTTGAGGTCAGAATTGGGAGGATGTGGCGTAGTGCGTTAGTGCGTAGGTGTTCGGATCAGGGGAGCACAGGTTCAAACCCCACTGCAGTCAGCATGTCGTTGTGTCCCTGAGACACTTCACACCAAATTGCTCCTGTGGGGTTGACCACAGTATTGAGTATGTAAGTCGCTTTGGATAAAAGCGTCTAACAAGTAATGTAATTGTCTTCTTTCTTTCTTTCGTCTTATCCTGTATTTGTTGTTTAGAGTGGATTAAGGAATCCATTAGGCTATCAAATCACACAGAACATCTAAAAAAACTCCCTGAAGAGACAATCTGTTGATCTACAGTCACTGTAAATTCAATTTATCTGCCATTGCCTGGAGGTTGTTATTGAAGTTCAGATATAAAAAAACAGCTAGTGGTAAAAGCATTGTTGAGAAAACTAATGACAGTTTCATTAAAACTAGATAGCATACATGAACTCAATTGAAAGCCAGGGTCATGAGTAGATTTATGTTGTTTAAATGCCAATCCATATATATATATGGCCATAGAAACAGGCAATAATGTCTTAAAGAGGCCTTTCTCTTTTAAGTGGATGTGCATGTTGAGAAAGCCAGCTGGCTTTGAATCACTGTCAAGGATCGTGTATTGATTATATGCCTGATTTTAAAGGCAGAATAATTCATGAATCTCCAGATAATTCAAAGTCTCCACCCCGTCGAGGTCTGAAGGATGACTTGGAAGTGTCCAGGACGGGAAGCGCTACATAGCAAACACATTTCCTACACCGCACTATGACATCCAATCGTGATGAATTGCAACACTGAGGGGGATATGGTGAGGTGAAGTGCGTTCTGCTACACTGAGGCAACACATCAAGTGAGTTTCTGCAAAAATACATTTAGCTGCGGTCTTCATTTGAAAGCCCAGGAGGGGACTGGGAGACCTGCAGAGCTCACAGCTAATAAACATGCACCGAAGATTAAAGTGTGTCATTGTAAACACAGCAGACATCACAAGACACACTATTCCCAGTGGAAATGACGAAGCATTAGGTCATCTTCACACTGTGTAGAGATGTATGTGGGCACTTCCTGTATGTCCGCCTCTTTGTATATGAGTAATGAGGCTATTTTCTCTAGTTAAATGGAAAAATGTACATTTGACTGCATCCTCATCTGACCTTTAAAGTTGCTGTTACACAGAATGTCTCATAGAGCCCTCTGCAGTGAATCTGCCATCTGCACACCCCACTAGGCCCAAATCCCAAAAGCCCACTGATGGTTTTTTGTATAATAAAATATGAAACAATGCTGCGTCACACAGAATCATGTCTCTTGGCAAACACACCTTTCTTTTCCTTTACAACGGTCATCCATACAGATCAAATGACACTGTCATTTTATTCCTGCACTTCTCATTGTTTCTGGATTCTTTTAGCCTTTTTCTCAGGGTGTGACACCTCCTGTGAGGCCACTGCATCATGCACTGATTGTAACTAAAAACTAAGCTGTTGACCTTTGTTACCATCAGCATGAAATCTGAGGTTGTCTCTGAAGAGAGAAAAAGTGAACCTAGTCCATCTGTTTGTCACAGCAGTGGGCCTCGTGGAGTCACCGCAGCCAATCTGGTGTTTCCACACAAGTTCTGTGAAGCAAAAACTGTAAAAATACTCTTCTTTACTCTGAGATTTTAAGCATTTGAGGCCAAAGCTAAAAGTGTTCGACTCGCTGAGCACAAACATGCAAGAACACATGCAATAAGCTACTGTATATTATGAGCATAACACACAGTGCCCTCTGGGCTGGAGAGCATGGACAAATATGCCATCTGCTATCTCTTCCTGACCCTCCTTCCCCTCTCTTCCCTTCACTCTTTCTTCCCTCCTTTCTTCCATTTGATGTCACATCTTAAAGTGTTATTTGACCAACATCATGACCCTGTTGAAGCCTCCCTGTCATCTTCTGATGCCTCCCTGAACTTTACATGCCTCTGTTTGACAGCTACGTGCCATCCCTCCTGTCAACCCCGAAACCCTTGGCTGCCGGTCTCAGGGCATCTCTCTCGTTTCCCCTTTTCTCTCTGGATCTGTCTCTCTTTTATCATGTCTCTTTCATCCTCTCCACCTCCTTATCTTATATAATCTAAGCCTGTGCATCCCACTCTGAAATCAAAGCCTGTGCCTGTGTTCCTTCTAACTCCAAACTCCCTGCTGACTGGAAGGACAGGCAGGTCTTTGTCCGCAGGCTTTTAAAGAGGCGGAAATGCCTTCAATGACTGCAGATGTGGGGACCTTACAAAGCCACCTCTGTGTCCTTACCCCTTCATCATTTCTCTTTCGTTTTCACCTTACTCTTTGCACAAGTGATGAGGAGAAATGGCTGGACGTGGGGTCCCTCTGACAGTGAGGAGGCTAGAAGTGAGCTGAAAAACAAACTTACTAACACTCAGATGCACATGCTGTGCCCTCCTCTCAGAGCGCAAGACATCTATAAATCATGAGGCATCCAAAAGAAGAAAAAACAGGATTGCTGCGTCAAGAGGAACAAGTGAAAATGGCTGAATGTTTACTTCAGGTGCACAGACACATTTGGGGCTTGAAATTAGATGCTTTCAAAATTCAAAAACTTGACATTATCCCAAATGTCAAAACTACTACTCTTTGCCTCACTACAACCTATATAACATTTCATAATGATGCAGGGAAAAGAGGCTCAAACAACCAGACGGAAACCAAATCATATCATGTCTCAAGTGTATCTTATTGAGGAAGCCTGTAGCCGCTAAAAACCTGTTGTATCCTAATCTTGCTGCAGCAAACTAAAGGATAAGGAAGGTCTCCACCATATTGCTTGCACCTGTCAGATTCAGTCAAATCAGAAGATGAGGGAGGAGGAGCTGTGAACAGTATTGACACACGGATGGGAAATGTGGAATTGGACAAAGGTTAAAGAAAAAAAGATTAAATACAGCCATTGCTCTCCTGTGGCTCGGCCTTCATGCAGCACCCTGCAGGCAGCACCCTGCAGGCGGAGAAACACCGCCAAGAGCCTCAGGCTGGAACAATGGAGCATCCTCACATAATGGATGCTACTAAAGTGTTAACTGTACATTAAATATCACCTAATAGACCAGTTGACTTCCATATGAAGAGAAAGCAGCTGCTGAGATAATGAAATACGTCTATAAAACATTAAATATAGCCTAATTATCCTATAATGATAATAAAAATAAGGCAGTTTTTGTATGTTTCCAATTAAGGTGCACTAATGACCAACTTAATGTTACCTGCTTCCATTTAAGATGTTAAGGCAATGAAACACATTTGACACCATGCAACAAAATACATCTGCATTACATTAGAATCCAACCAGGAGGCTGGGAAATGAATGAAACACATCTCAAATGATCCAATGATGGCGAAGCCGGCTCCCTTTCCCTCAGTGACAGTTTAATGTGTGTTCGCTGATAAAGCTCGCATCCTCATGTCTGATCAGTGTCCTCCGGGCCGGGATAGCCGAGAAGCGCATCAACCAAAAAGCTGCAGAATTTAACCCTTCGTGCACCGGTCACATTTTAGCACTCGCATCACATGCATGTTAGGAAAAAGAAAAACATGGCTCAGCATCTCACCTTTCTGTAGAGTCCCGGTCGCGGTGTGCAGAGACGCGTTCAGAGGAGGAAATAATGTGCGTGAACGGTGCCGGTTTTCTCCCTCGTCGTCTCCCTCTCTTCCAACCTCGCCCCCCTCAAGAGCAGCACTTCACGACTCCGGCTCAACATTTGGAAGGTGTTCAGAATGTGGCTCTGCTCACTCGGCTGGTTTCGGGAATCCCCGGTGAGACTCGGTCCTGCTGAAAGACACCTTCTCCTCTGGGGGGTGGGGGCTTTAATGAGATGTTACACTGGCAAGCCGCAGAATAAGCAGCTGATTCAGCACATATCTAAGTGTCCTTAAACAGATTAAGCTCACACATTATGTCCAAAGTAGATGGTAATGAGTTTAGAACAGGCGTGTTTGAAATATAGGGATTGCTTTGATGCATTGGTTCCAATCGCATCATAAATCTCAGTGTTTTATACAAAATAAAAGCATTTCATTGGTTGATTGGCTTTGGTTTAGATAAAAGCAAATATTTACATATCTAATCTCCCAATAAGAATAATTCAGATGTTTTGAAAGATGATCATCTGCAAACATCCCAAACTCAAGGAGCTCTTGAAGAACAAAACATTTTTTTAAATTAAAATTAAATAATATAGAGGAAAAACCTGGCAAAATGTAAAAAAAGTATCATATCGACAGAGATCTTTCTCAGATAAGGGAATTCAATAAGTTCCCAACCTTGGGAATGGCAGCTTGGCAAACACATCTAAATCCAAAGTTAGTTTGTTAGTGTTTCCAATACTTTAAGCTCCATCCTGCAGTTATAGCATCACATTAAAGCAGGCCTCAGTAAAAAAAAGACAACAATATGCAGATTACGTATAAAGTCACTATACAAAAAATATTTAATGTTTTCATTGGTAATACTGACATACAAACATGTTTCAATATTAATTAGTTTATTAGTGTGACAGAAGTGTTCTGTATACACGTATCTCCATAAGATATTGATGTAGAAGCAGCAACAGCATGCAGGTGCCTATAAATCGCGTCCCATGGCTGGAGGTAATGGGATTGATTGAAGCCTTAATGGAGTAGCTGGTGATGGTTACTGCAGACTCACTGGTAAGTTCATGATTAGCTCGGTATAAAAAAGGCACTATGCACTTCTCATCAGGACAGGAAACAAGCCTTTTTCTGACCCCCATCGCTTCCACTAGCCCCCCACCCAAACATGATTATAAATCTCCTGCTTCGTTGCGGTTACCTGCCAAACCGGCTGATTGAGCTGCTGAAGCACTTAGCAGGTAAAGAGAGTAGTGACAATATGCTTGCTATCTTCGTACCAAGAAAGGGGAGGAGCAAGAACAGATGAGAGATGGGGAACGTGATAAGAACGGCTGATGGGTTATTATTTCCCACCTTACATAGCAGCAACATCATGGCAAGTTTAAAATCTAAATTGTTTCCACATATATTTTAAACATGAAAATGGGAAACACTACAGACAATAATTAAGTTACTTTAATCGCTGTCTCACAAAAATAGAAAGCTTCAATTGTAAAAGAATGTTTCAACATTTTGTTACAATACATTCAAGTCCTTTGTATAGACACACAGTGTTTCTACGGCCTCTCATTTGAAAGGGAATCTACGAGTAATGATTTCCTACATGGTGTTTTTTTATTCACTAAGTCTTCTTCCTGCCCCTGCCCCTGCCTCCTGCCGGCTGAAGGGAATGTGCAGGGGCTGAGAGTCTGTGGGTCTGAAGGTCAAGTCTCTGCTGAAGGATCCCAGTGAGGAGGAACTCAGCAGTGACGACTGGAAGAGATGCAGAGAGCGCCGGGCCGCACAGAGACAGGTCCTCCGCGCAGGAAATCACGAAAGTCTGCGGCTGAGAGAGGCGGTCAAATAGTTACTGATATACTGAATGATAAGATAAAGAGACTGTCCCAAAATAATGTTCATGTACCTTCGGAGAAGAGGGCATCTTAGGTAGGAGGGTGGCTCCACTGCATAAGATGATGTCCTTCATTTGGACTGGCTCTGGTTTCACTGACGCCGTAACGTGGATGTGATAACCCTAAGAGAAGAGATTCAATAAACATCATGTGGCAAAAAATCAATACAAGGCTTTTAAGAATGGACATTTGTATTACATGTGTATACCTGCCTGCATTTAGCTAGCTATGTCAGTATGGTATGTGGTGTCAAACGATATCTGTTCAGCTTGGATCCTAACCGTGCAGGCTAGGGAGTGTAACGGTACGTCCACATAGCAGCTTTAAACAAATCTTCCAACGCTTCTCTGCCCATTGACTTTGAATGGGGTGACGTCACTTTGCCTCGCTTTTCGCCGGACTGCATTGTGGGGGAGCGAAGCGAAGATTTCCAGGATTTCCAGGATGTTCAGGATTCAAAAGTTGAGCAATGTTCAACTTTTGAATCTGAGCTGGAAGCGTCAGCCAATCAAATCCCGTTTATGCAAATCTGACAGTACAAGCACTAGCCAATCAAACCACGCGTGTAAGCAGGGAGAACCAGACCGCAGTTCATTTCCTCATATTCCAAACGAGAAATTACGGTAGCAAATCACCCGGTTCTTTACGACCAGACTATTTACCGGGATACAAACCGGAGGAACCAGGCATGGAGGGAGGTGGCAGAGACAGTGGGTGAAACTGGTAGGTTTTCGCCGGTTTGGGGAGTTTATATATATATATATATATATTGCTCGCATAAAATCCCCGGGGTTTTTTGCTTTGTATGTCGGGGGCGGGAGATTCATGTGATTGGTTGTTGGTCGCGTTGCTCGCAAAAAATCCCCAAGCTTTCAGACACGCCCAGCTCCAAGATTTTTTCAAAGCTGCTGTGTGGACGTACCGTAACAGAAATGGAAACATTACTGCCTCCCTACTTGAAGTGCCCATTAAACATTAACAGTACATTAAGAATACATGTCAAACTACTTTCCACAAGACAAAGATTAATGGTGAACAATCTCCACTGTGCCAATGGAAAGATTGTTCAACTACAGAGAGGCTGGCGTAACAGCGATGCTTAACGGTAAAATGTCAGGGGTTTCACATCTTTCATAGGCCGAGGAGGATTCTTACACAAGCATGTCTGGACTCCTACTGTGAGTCATGATTCATCTCGTATCTGTCGATATTATCCACAACCCCTGTGCCACCCGCCAAGGGAAATGACGCTCTGCCAACCTCTCACTCTGAGGAAAAATATAAGAACTAAAAACTACGATTGGAGTACCTGTAAGAGAGGCTGACTGCTGGCGATCCTCAGAGACTCCTGCAGGCAGAAACTAAACTTATTCTCCTGCTCCGGATCCTCCACAGCAAATGTGTTCGGAGACAGGAAGCTCCCGGCCTTGCAACTCTGAAGCACAGGAAGAAAGTAGAAACACAACAAGAGCGTCTGTATTAGTCAGTCTCCTTAAACGAGTGCAGTATTTGTGTATATAGACAGAGGTGGGAGAAGTACTCAGATCTTGTACTTGAGTAAAAGTAGAAGCACCAGAGTGTAGGAATACTCTGTTATCTGAGCGATAGAACTATTAACAAAGCACTTATATACTAATAAAGGGCTGGCTTATCTAAAGCCAGTTGAGTAGCACTTGAAATGTTTTGGCTCTATGAAGCCTGATGTACTTATATGATTCTGTTTTCTTCAAGTTTGTATTTTGTTGGTCGAACGCACTTATTGTAAGTCGCTTTGGATAAAAGCGTCAGCTAAATGCAATGTAATGTAATGTTACAGTAAAAGTCCTGCATTCAAAATGTTACTCAAGTAAAAGTATTAGCATCAAATTATACTTAAAGTACCAAAAGTAGTCATTGTGCAGATCGGTCCATTTCAGAATAATATATATGATATGTTTTTTTATAATGATTGATCATGAAAGTGTTCTCAAAGCTGGTGAAGGTGCAGCTAGTTTGAATGACTTTGTATACTGCAGGGTAGCTGGTGGATTTACTCCAGGTGGAACTCAAGTCTGATTTAAGAGCTGATTAGATTTCACATCATTCATCCACATCTGCAAAGTAACTAAGAGACAAAAGGATATACTCAAGTAGATTAAGTATCTCAGAGTTGTACTGCGTTACTTCCCACCTCTGTATATAGAGGGATAAAACGTAATGTTTGAACTAACCTTATCCAGCCAGTGTGTGGTGACGATGGGGACTCCTTTAGCCACGGCACACAGGAACTTGACGGTCCTGCGCACCTTGTCCGTCACCAGACAGTTCATGTCGGCCACGCCTTTGGCCAAGCGGCCTCCCAGACGAGCCAACACCCTCTCTCCTTCTTCATCCACCACGCCGGTGAACAGCACCTGACACACACACACACACACACACACACACACACACACACCACACACACACACACACCACACACACACACACTACACACACACACACACACACACACACACACACACACACACACACACACAACACACACACACACCCATACACACACACACACACCACACACACACACACACACACACACACACACACACACACACACACACCACACACACACACACACACACACACACACACACACACACACACACACACACACACACACACACACACACAACACACACACACACACACACACACACACACACACACACACACACACACACACACACACACACACACACACACACACACACACACACCACACACACACACACACACACACACACACACACACACACACACACACACACACACACACACACACACACACACACACACACACACACGTTGGTATCCTTCACTTCAATTCATCAATCGAAATGATTTTCTCTGTGCTTTACGTCTTACTGTTCAGACTTCTGGTAATATGCCGTGTTATGAGGTAAGAAACCATATAAACCTTATAGGCATGGCTGACAGATCGTAATCGACCACCGGGGGAAGCAGAGGAGGAGCGAGGGGTCTTTGCCACAGGTGACGAGTCGGCAAGAGCCTGTCGCTTCCGGGATGCAGCGCTGGTGGGAGTCTGGGGCTGTAAAATGGAGGAGGGGAGGGAGGGAGGGAGGGAGGGAGGGAGGGAGGGGAGACAAGGACAAAAGGCAGACAAGGACGAAGCATGAAACACAGAAGGAGAGGGGTGAGTGTAGGAGCAGAGTAGTGTGACTACTTAATTCATTAGTGTATTAATGGTGATGACTACTCCTGTTGCTCAGAGAGTTGGGGAGACGCAGACAGTGCCTGATGTTGATGCAGTACATTATGAAAGGCTGACTCACAGAGAGAAAGCCACAGGGCCTTAAGCCGAGGTAAAAGCCTTCCTCAAGGACACAAGTTCCTGGTATACTGTATACCTCTAAGCTTTCCCTTTGGTCTGATGTATGTCTCAGCACTAATGTATTTGTGTCTCAAAGAGAAAACACTTCTGAGACCTTAACATTTCCAATATGTAATAATGAAGTCACCTTTGATGCCTCCACATGGTCGACAGATAACCCACTTTCTTCCTGCTCCTCCTTCATCTTTTTCTGAGCCACTGATGGCCGCCCTCTGCCTCTCTTCTTAACAGGTACCTCCTCTATTGTCTCACTCTCTTCACTTCCTTCCACTTTAGCGGAGGAGACACCTGCGATCTTGTTTGCTTGAGCGGTGGATGCTCTACCTCTTCTCTTAGCTGGCACTGGAGTCTCATCGTTTGTTTCACCTGCTTCCTCTGGCGTGTGGGCTTTCTGCTTCCCTTGGAACACTTTGTGGCTACTGCTGGAGGCCTCTTCTGTATTTGCCTCCTCCATGTCCCTTTTCCTCCCTTTTCCCACCTCTTTATCTCCCTCACTGACTGCAGGAGCTACTGGTGCCTCCACAGTCTCACTCTTTACCGCTCTTCCCCTCACAGTCCTTTTAGGCAGAGGTGATTCTCCACTGGCACACTCCTGACTTGAGTTGTCTTGCTTTTCTGCAGCATTAGGCTCTGAGACATTAGCTCTCCGTCGCCCTCTTGTGGTAGGGGCCTGCTGAGGGTCTGCCTTCTCAGTTTCGTCCTCCTGGGGAAGCTGCTCTCCTCTCCTGCTCTTCCTGCCTCTCGCTGCAGGTGTGGGATCCACTATTTGTTCACTCTGAATATTGATAGCAGGGATGGGCTCAGTTTTTCTTCCTCTTCCTCGCTGCCTGCCTCCTCCTCTTCCTCCTCTGCTCTGAGAGCTCACGCTGCAGCTGGACACCTTGGACCTGGACTGAGTTCCTGGAGGAGGAGGAGGAGGAAGAGGAGGAGGAGGAGCATCATTCGTGTCCTGTTGTGTTGACGCCGTGTTCCTCCTCCTCCTGTTGGTACCTCTGGTGCTGGCTGCTGGGGGGGGTGCACTGCTGCCCCTCTTGGCCCCCCGGCCTCTCCCCTGGCCCCCCAGGGTGCTCACACTTGAAGCGGACCTCTCTGAGCTGACGGAGTTGGAAGAGTTGGAGCGAGACCTGGTTCTCCTGGCTGGGACGTCGTCATTGGCTGATATGGAGTCTGCTTCTGCTTCTGCTGAAAGCGGCGGGGCAGCAGTCGTTGCTCTGGTGGCTCTTCGGCTTCTCTCTGGGGTTTTGACTTTTTTTCTTCTTCCCGCTTTTCTTCTTCCTCTTCCAACCCGTCTCCTTCTTCCTTTTCCTTTGCTTCCCTCTCCAGTTTTGCCTGGTGTTCCTGTTCAATCCTCTTAAGTCTCTCTCCTAGTTCCCTTTTCGCTACCTCCAATTTCTCTCTTTCTTCCTTCTCCTTTCTTTCCATTTCTATTCTCTCCTTCTCCAATCTTTCCATCTCTTCTTCCCTTTCTATTCTCTCTCTCTCCAATCTTTCCATCTCTTCTGCCTTTTCTATTCTCTCTCTCTCCAATCTTTCCATCTCTTCTGCCTTTTCTATTCTCTCTCTCTCACACTTTAATGTCTCTTGTTCCTCCTTTTCCACTCTTTCATTAGCTTCTCTCTCTAATCTTTCCATCTCTTCCCTTTCTGTCTTTTCACTCTCTAATCTCTCTTGTTCTTCCTTCTCCTTTCTCTCCCTCTCCGACTGATCTTCCCTTTCCTCTGAACTTGTGAGCGGTTGCGTTCCCTCTTCTTGAATTTGCAGCGGCTTCGCTTTTCGTTTTCGTGGACGCAGAATTGAGTCCTCCTCCTCATCATCAATTTCTTCATCTTCTCCAGCAACCATGGGCTGGGTTTGGACAGCAGAGAGCTCAGAGTTTGAGAGCGTTTGTGTCTGCTCCTCGTCAAGCTGCAGTGGCTTCGCTTTTCTTTTGCGTGGACCTGGCATCGAGTCTTCATCATCACTTTCCTCATCCTCACTTGTATGCATGGGCTGGGTTTCAGAAACACCCATGTGCATAGGCTGGGTTTCAAGAGATAACTCAGAGTTTGAGAGCGTTTGTGTCTGCTCCTCGTCAAGCTGCAGCGGCTTTGCCTTTCTTTTTCGTGGCCCTGAAATCAAGTCTTCCTCATCACTTTCCTCATCCTCACTTATATGCATGGGCTGAGTTTCAGCTACAGACAGAGCTTCACTGTGATGCTTCTTCTGAGGTTGATCTGCCTCTCCATCTTCTTCTCGCTTAACCTGTAGTACAGAGGAAAATAGATGTTCTTCATCTGAACTCTCGTCTTCCTCAAAGACAGGCATTAGTTGGGTTTCAGCCATTGCGAGAGTAGAAGACGTGGGCACATTGAAAGCCTGAGTGGCAGCAGTAGCAGTGTTTCTTGACTCATCATCATCATCAGTGTCATCCTCTGAATCGCTGTCTGGCATTGTAATAAATTCCTGTGTGTCTTTGAGGTCAAAATCCACCTGACTCTCTTTTACAGACGTTTCTGAACATCTGGCAGGCTCTGCTTCCTTTCCATAGTCCTGTGTAGCCTCCAGATTCTGATCATTCTCCAAGGAGGTTCTGTCAGCATTTGAGACGGCTGCATATGCCTGGGTGTCTTCCATACTCACACTCACATCCCCGCCCACAAAAGTTTGAGTGTTCTCCATAGCTAGAGCCTGACCCTGCAGATGTCTGCTGTCTGACAGTCCGAGCTGGAAAGACCCTTCACTGCTGGACTGCTCTCCTCTCTCATCACCAGAAGACTCCAGGGAAAAAGCCTGTTCGGGGTCCTGTGGAGGGGTTCCCTGACGCTCTCTGGTCTGAAGAACAAAGGACTGCGTCTCGGCCACGACAAAGTCCTCATCCTCCTGACTCTCTGAGTTGGCAGACAATACCATACGTCTTCCAGCAGGGGCTACGGCACCTGGAAAGACAGAGGAGACCAAATAAAGGAGGTTGTGCAAGGGTCTAAATGTTATGTCCTCTTAGAAACAGAAGTCAAAGGTGATTTACTTACATCTACATGGAACCGCAGAGGGAATGAAGAAAGCCTGTGTGTCCATATCTTCCAGTCCTCCCTCTGAAACCATCCCAAAGTCAATTTTTCTTCAAGTTGTATTTTGTTGGTCGAACGCACTTATTGTAAGTCGCTTTGGATAAAAGCGTCAGCTAAATGTAATGTAATGTAATGTAATGTAATTAAAGTAAGAACATTTCAAAGTTTTAACACGCTAATATTTCACGTTAAGAATCATTTAAAACCGTATAAAGTTGATTGGATGATATGTCTACACTCTACAAATCTAAATCCAATATTGAAGAATGATATTAAATATATCTTGATTGCTAAAGTCATTTAAAAAAGACATTCTGACCAATTTCTAGAGTAAGCTTAAACAAAATTAAACACCCATTTTAATGGTTGATTATTTGCTAAAGTGACTACTACAGCTTCTTAGATGTAATGATTTCTATGCAGAATTACAATGGGAATGTTTCACTATTTTCTGTCATTTTATAAACCAAACAATGAATCAAAGAAACGTTATCTGCACATGGAACCATAATACATTCATTCCATGTAGTTCTCATTTGAAGAGTGATTGACAGGTTACCTGTTAGGGGTACAGGTGTGGAGCAGTTCTGCTTTAGAGGAGCCAGCAGCCCAGGGGCGATCTCTCTCTGCAGGCAAGCTGCATCCTCCACCTCTGTGTCACTGTCCTCTTTAAGGTCAGCTGCGTCCCCAGCAGGTGGCACGACGGATTCATCAACACCTGGGTCTGCCTCATCTGACGTTGTACCAGGATCTACTGATATGTCTGAGACAACAAGAGCTATGAACAGAGGAGAATCCTCTTCCACATCTGAGTCGCTGTCGGACAAAATATCCAAATCTGCTCCTGGTTGTGCAGTGGTGCATGATTCTGGGAGAGAAGAGGGTTCACCGAGTGCTGGTGCAGGAATAGCTTCATCGTCTGTATCGCTGTCTAGTTGCAGGCTGTCAGGCGCAGCGGGGATAGATTCAGGCCTAATATCTAATCTAGTGGGAGTTTCATCTATTTCAGGGTATTTATTATTTGTTCCATGTTCCATTTCTTCTTCTTCATCAACATCTGTGTCACTGTCTAGGTGGACATTTTCCACCTGTGTTGAAAAAGCAGAGTCAGCTGTTTGTGTGCTCTGAAGTGATGGGGGTTTTGCATTTGTTGCAGCGTCTGACATCGCATCATCATCCACATCAGTGTCACTGTCCATAGTGACGCCTTCTGGCTGAATAACTGAAATCACATGAGGTTTGTTGTGGTCAGCAGAGGAAGGCAAACTTTTGGGAACTTGGTCTAAGGCATCATCGTCCTCATCCACATCTGTATCACTGTCCATGTGAAACTGGGCTGAGTCTGGGGGCTGATCAGCTTGTTGGTTTGTAGCCAAGGTCACAGGACATGCGCCCTCCTCCTCATCAGTGTCACTGTCCATGTCAAACACAGGGTTCGGATCTGTGAAGACTGATGGTGTGAATTCAGGCAATTCATCTTCTCCTGTAAGACTGACATTGCTTCCCGTTTTCACTGGCACATGTTGTTCACTTTCTTCAGACTGTGTCCCTCCCAGTGCTGTTCTTTCTTCCTCCCTGTGTTCCTCCTCTGCACTATCGTCCACAATCTCAACTGTCTTTATGTTATTCAGCTGCTGTCGCCCCGCATCCATGTCTGTCTCCTCGAGGCTGAAGCTGACATGTCTGTGAGGCCTATTTTTAGTGGAGGAGGACGGTGTGATGGTACTTTCATCCTCACTGTAAAACAGAGGAAAAAAACGTGACTGATTTTAGAAAGACTACAGACTATCCAATCCACTTTATTTCAGCACATTTAAAATCTGTTGAACAAAGTGCCGTACATCAACAACTGTATAAAAACACAGCATAAATACATAAAGAACAGACAGGACATGAAACAAATTAAAACACGAGACGATGAAACCAGACCAGAAGCCACAGACTGAGAAACTCTCCTACATGACGTAAAAACAATACAAAACCCAAATGTAAAAGCACAGTGTCACCTGGTCTGTAAATGCCAGGGCAAACAAGTGGGTTTTTAAATGAGATTTAAAAACAGGCAGAGTTGGAGCAAGTCTAACCTGGAGGGGTAATTCGTTCCATACTTTTGGAGCTGCAACAGCAAAGGCTCCGTCTCCTCGCTGCTTCAACCTCGACTTAGGGACGACCAGAAGGAGTCTGTCACCCGACCTCAGTGACCGTGTGGGTGTGTATGGTTTTAAAAGATCTGCCAGGTACGGTGGGGCTAAAGCGTTTAGGGCTTTGTGTGCAAACAGTAACATTTTAAATTGTGTTCTAAAACTGACTGGTAGCCAATGTAAAGAGGCGAGTACAGGCGTAATATGTTCACGCCTGCCTGTCCTTGTAAGGAGGCGGGCAGCAGCATTCTGGACCAGCTGTAGGCGTGACAGGGAAGCCTTGGTCACTCCAATGTACAGAGCGTTACAGTAATCCAGTTTCCAAGTTCCCATCAGCAAAAACACGTGGGTTCGCTATCCTGGCTCCAAGATGGTGGAATGAGCTCCCCATGGACATCAGGACAGCAGAAAGCTTACATGTCTTCAGGCGCAGACTGAAAACTCATCTCTTTCGACTCCACTTCGAGCGATAAAATACTAACTGAGCACTTAGATACTAACAAAGCACTTATATACTAACAAAGGACTGGATTATCTAAAGCCAGTTGAGTAGCACTTGAAATGTTTTAGCTCTATGAAACCTGATGTACTTATGATTCTGTTTTCTTCAAGTTTGTATCTTCTTGGTCGAATGCACTTATTGTAAGTCGCTTTGGATAAAAGCAAGTAATGTAAAACAATGTATTACTTTCTCAAAGTCATTCAAAGAAAGGAAAGGCTTGACCTTTGCAAAAAGTCTTAGCTGAAAGAAGCTGGATTTGACCACATCATTGATCTGTTTGTCTAGTTTCAAATCACGATCAATCCGTACACCCACATTTGTGACAATGGGTTTCACATATGGGACAAGAGAATCCATCACAGGCGCCGGGGCGTTGGGGCCACCACTGGGTCCAAACATTATCACCTCGGCCTTTTTTTCATTGAATTTAACATTTAATATTTGGACTCAAGTAAAATAAGGGATACACTACTGCATAAAAGCACATATCTTCACTGAGATGAATGACTGTGTTATGATTTGTTTGAAAGATGTATAGGATGCTTTACCTTTCAGGGACGGTTTTGTTTGTGGGACTCAGGAATGTTGAACATCTGGGACTGGATGTATGGGAGTCAGAATGGGACACTATAAAAGACAATTTAATTTTGATTTGATTTATTTCGAACGTGTAAAACAGTAATACAAACAATAATAATAATAATAATGAAATGAAACAAGAGAATTATGATACTGTACAAACTCAAGCAGTATCAAATTGATAAACAAAAATATTATTGACTAACAAATGATATATAAACAAATGATCTACCTAATTACACATCCAAAAAGGGGTGGGAAGAAGTTTACACTTATTTAATTCAGTTTGTAATAACGTTATTTACATACCCATTGCTTTGCGCCTTCTTTCCCCTCTTTCTCCGTCTGAGTCCGAGTCAGACTCTGAGACCAGGCTCTCTTCTGGGTAGGTTGGGGTTTGCTCAAAGGACAAGACAGTGGTTACGCCAGGGGTCTTCATGGTGTCCCCCTGATCAGGTAATGACACCCTAGCTCCTGTACCACCGTTGACATATTTCTTGCCGCCTGTGCTTGTGGCATGTAGCAGCGTGGCCTTTACCCCTGAATGTCTGCTCACAGGAGTTCTCGCGTCCCCTTGGGAGGAAGCGGCATTTTCAGCACAGATTACATACTGACATGGGATGTCTGCCACCACCAAGCTGTCACGTTCACTGAGGGCATAGCGTACGTTAGGTGTCAGCTTCATTTGGCCCTTGCGGGTCCCATTCATGCTCCCTTGGTCCCAAACCAAAGCCTCTATGTCCACTTCACTGTGACGTCCTCTTTTCCTGTAGACTGAGAGGCAGATGGTGGCGTGCTGCTTTGAAATTGAGGGTGCTATCAGGGGCACGGTGCAGGAGTTGGGGTCACGGCCCAGGGCGTTTTCTCCCAAAAAGAGGGGAACCTCTAGGAGACAGAGAACACCCATCAGAAAAAAAGACAAGTTAAGTTAATTTAACTAAGTGCCTAAATCAGCAAACAATAGCAGTAATACCAGCAATAGAGGGGGCCACTCACCTGTCTCAGGTATGTGTTTATTTTTTAAGATACACAGTTTAGCCAATGGTCGTCCCCTCTTGTTTTCACTCTCATCTTCATGATCCTCCTCATCTGACTCCAATATTGAGTCACAGATCCTCTGAGTAGCATCCATACCTCACACAGGGTAGGACAGGACGACTACTATACTACAGACACAGATAAATGGATGTTAAAGCAGTCTGTTTCCACCAACGTTAGCTTTAACTAGCCGTGAGAGCATTGCTGGATATACCGTTAGTAGATATTGCTAGGCAACAACGTTACCATTAGCCTGAATAGCTTTTATTCGCTATACTTTTTTTGCTAAATTCTGCTTGAATCCTGTGTGTAGAGTGAAGCAACGCTGGCACAACTTGTATCGAACTAGTATCAATATGTCTATCAAATCACTTTGCAGCAATCCCACTTCCGGTCAGCATACAAACAAAACCACGTCAGACGTCAACTGACAGTTTTGGTTATTCTAGCGTCTAATTAAAAAAATAAATATTATAGGCTAATGAACCTATTGCTTTTTAAATGTCGCCCTATATTGTCAATAACAATTATCAATGTAAATATAATGTGCTACTGCTTTCAAGAAAGAGAATAATTTACCTTGAAAACTATAAAGGAAGTACCATCGACTCGAGGTGGCTTCACTGTTATAATATACACCCGACTGCATGGTGAAATTGTTCAAATGAATGCCAAGTTAATTTGCATTGTTGTTGCACTACAAATGTGCCACATATTCGTAAAAAATGTACTCTGCTGTTACCTACCTTCACACGCTTTGGAGATATGTAAAAAATAAACACATATCCTGGAAAGAATCGAAGACGCCCACAAGAGGTGTCTGAAATGCATGTGATTGGCCAGTTAACCGACCACTCACACTGGACTCTGTTGCCATTGGTCATTTTTCCCCAGCCTCACTTTAAACGTTTCTGATTGGACCAACATTCCCGCACAACTGTAGTGTCTTAAAGGGACCACACAAAATTATTGGATTGTGATAACAAAAAACTAGTCCAACTGTCTTAAAATATTCTATGAGACATGCACTTGTTCATTAATACAAAAGTAATAGAAAAGGTTTTAAAAACAGTTTGATGTGTAAATCAAGTGGCCCAAATGAATACCCTTCTGTAGATATTGATTCATTTTCTATCTTCATGTTTTGGTTTAACTTTTTACACAAAAACTGCCCTGCCTCCCCAGAATGTAGGGGCCGTAAGAAATGAAAATGTGGATATGAATATGCAGTCCTAAAGAACAACTTAACTTGATATCAGAGGGCTTGTGATATTTGCTGCATTTTTACCCAAACATGAGGATCTGTCTCAAAGACGATATCTGTGTTTTTCAAGATCATTATATGTAAATTGTGAGCTTATATTATAACATACATGGAATGTGGGCCCGGTAGCACATTGTTGTCCTGGGGTCCCTTTGTATGATAGCCAGTCATGCCTCGGGCACCAGCAACAATTGTAATTATTGTGTTCATATGCTAATATATAATATAAATATAATAATCTATATAATAAAAAAGTTAGACAAGTAGCCTACTTACTACATTATTTTTGGGGCACCTACATCTAAACCTCCTCCTGAAACGAATTTTATGCAAAACAGATCATAAAAACAGCTGTGCAGTGAAAATACCGTATGTTACGTGCGGTTACGAGGTTTGACTCATAGTTGTGGGAATGTGGTTTTGCCGGGAGAAAAATCTTTGCCTGACTGTATGGTGCAAATTGGTGTGCACACAGCCATCATTCTTGTCAAGTAGAAACCTAGAGATATATAACACCTCATTCATTCAAACAATAATACCTGGGAACCATATTTGACCCACTGAATGTCTGCACTCAGAATCTGTTTATTCAAGTGTTTTAAAGATTAATGTTCATGGGAAAGACCATAAACTGCCCTATCCAAGCATCTCAAAAGTGAATGATGCAGCTATTCATGTGAAACATCACAGTATCCTCCTACAAAAACAGCTGACCTCAGAGTTAACATTCATTCATCTCTGATAATGCGCTTTGTATCCAATCCGTTATATTTCTACTGTTTGGAAAATGTGATTAATGGCTGAGTCTTAGTTAAAGTTTTTATCAGACAATGAAGATCTGTTATATGCACACATTTAAGAAAGGCAGACACGTTTTCATTTGACTTTATTTTAAGGTTTTCTAATGTATGCTAAAGATGAATTCTAGCACTACTTCAGAATATGTTTGTTCCTTCGTTACTTTAATGGTTGTTTTTTTGTGATAATGTTAGATTTTGGCATTGATGTCTTGACCTTCACATTTTTATCTTCAAGCATCATCATCAGCTTCCTCCTCAAATTCTCCCTCCTCTTCGGTGGTGGCATCCTGGTACTGCTGATACTCGGACACCAGATCATTCATGTTGCTCTCGGCCTCGGTGAACTCCATCTCATCCATACCTTCTCCGGTGTACCAATGCAAGAAGGCCTTACGACGGAACATGGCTGTGAACTGCTCTGAGATGCGCTTGAACAGCTCCTGAATGGCTGTGCTGTTGCCAATGAAGGTGACGGCCATCTTGAGGCCTCGTGGTGGAATGTCACAGACGGCGGTCTTCACATTGTTGGGGATCCATTCCACGAAGTAGCTGCTGTTCTTGTTCTGGACGTTGAGCATCTGCTCGTCGACCTCCTTCATGGACATGCGGCCGCGGAACACGGCGGCGACGGTCAGATAGCGGCCGTGACGTGGGTCGCACGCAGTCATCATGTTCTTGGCATCGAACACCTGCTGGGTGAGCTCGGGGACGGTGAGGGCGCTGTACTGCTGGCTGCCTCTGCTGGTCAGGGGGGCGAAGCCGGGCATGAAGAAGTGCAGACGGGGGAAAGGCACCATGTTGACGGCAAGTTTGCGCAGATCAGCATTGAGCTGGCCGGGGAAACGAAGGCAGGTGGTGACCCCGCTCATGGTGGCGGACACCAAGTGGTTAAGGTCACCGTAGGTGGGGGTGGTAAGTTTCAGAGTGCGGAAGCAGATGTCATACAGAGCTTCATTGTCAATACAGTAAGTTTCATCGGTGTTCTCAACGAGTGGTGGACTGAGAGGGTGGCATTGTAAGGCTCAACCACTGTGTCTGACACCTGAGGATAGAAAACACATTTGTTTTCAGTCTCATGATTTTAGAGGACAAAACCTAAGGCAAGAAAAACTCAAATGAAAACTTCTTAAAAGAGTATGTTACCTTGGGGGAAGGCACCACACTGGTGTTCATGATACGGTCGGGGTACTCCTCGCGGATCTTGCTGATGAGCAGGGTTCCCATACCGGATCCAGTTCCACCACCAAGAGAGTGTGTGAGCTGGAAGCCCTGCAGGCAGTCACAGCTCTCTGCCTCTTTGCGGACCACATCCAGGACTGAGTCCACCAACTCAGCTCCCTCTGTGTAGTGACCCTTGGCCCAGTTGTTTCCTGCACCACTCTGACCTGGAGTAGAAGAAGAGACATACAGGTGAGCTGATCTTATTACCCTGCCCATCAGTGCTTGAATTGGAATGAAAAAGGTGCCAGTACTCTAAAATCAGCAACTTTTTCAAGTCAATTTTATATATACAGCCCACAAACAAGAATTTGGCTACTATAATGCTGGTGGGTTTGTCTCTTTACTACTGTATATTTTAGAAAGGTTCACTGTACTTAACATTTTTTATGATAGGCAGCGGATATGGCTAAAGCTCAGTAAGGTCAATATTAACTGAAAATATAGCAATCAAAGTCTAGATCTTCTGCTGAAGACACATGAAGCAGAGACCTTTCAGGTGAGAGCCCCTCTGGTGGTGTTCAACATTAATGACAAGGAAACAAAGCTCTGGTCAGAAGCATTTTTTATAAAAAGCTTTAACAAAATTAAGTATTTCTGTACATTTTGAATGCAATCTAACTTTCCAACTCAGAAAACGAAAAACGAAAAAGTGCCAAAAGTCTTCTCACATGGCTGAGCTGCTTTGCAATATACTTCACCACTGAAGAATACAAATATGTATAAAGTAAACTATGATGCAATCTAACTTTCCAACTCAGAAAAATGATAAAGAGCATGAACAAAGAACATGTAAAAACAAATGCAAAATTTGCACAATCTAAAATGAGAAACTGTAACTGCAAGTAACAAAGTCTGAGCCATGGTAAAGAGTTACATTGAACACCAAGCTGATCAGATAACTCCCTGGTTGGTCTGAAGTCCTTCTATCTCCAGGATCTGTACAAATCGGCACATTATGCCAAAAGTCTTCTCACTGGGTGAGCTGCTTTGCAATATACTTCACATTGTTAGAAAAGGCTCCAGAAGGCCTTGGGGACATCAGTATCAGGGGCTGGAGCTGGACAGGCTCTTTCATCAGCACTTCTCCTTCCCTTTGCCAGCCAGGACCTCACATACTGTTCCGGATTGAACTGTCCTAGTGATGGTCCATTACATTTAATGAAAACCAGGCTGGACAGTCGGCTGACAGAGAGAGCATTCCTTTTTGCAGTAAGGATATCGTTCATGCAGCTGAATGCCCGCTCACACTCACTAGTGGAGACAGCGATGGTTCGGACTGCTTTCAGTAGAGGCTCCATGGCAGCAGGTGTACGGGATGCCCTGGTTTCCTTGTATTCGCGAAAGCCCTGAACAGTCTCTCTTCTGTCCACTTTCAGCACTTCGCACAAACGTAGCACCTCTACGTCCCCATACTGTACGTCTAACTCCTCTTCAGGCCAACTTCCAGGATGGATAACTTTCATGTCCTGGATTAGCTGATTGTCCCGGGCCTCCCGGCCATGTAATGGGATTTCTCTTGTGCTGACATGAGAGGAGGTTGTGGAAGTCATTCTGTGTCTCAGATTCTCTACCATACTGCGGAAAAACTGACCTGCATGAATCTGTACAAGCCTGCCATTCTCACGCAGGGCAACACCCTTGAAGGACTTCTCAGCTAGAGCTGTATGAACTGTAGTCATGTGTGGGCCAGGCATGGTGACCATGGATTCAAAAACTCGTATTTCTCGAGTTAAGAGCATATCTGCTGTAGGCAGTGTCATCTCTCTTTTTTGGAGTTGCCGAGAGAGGTCGCTGAGCTCTGTGAGCGCATCGTACATCAGTCCCAGATTGCTGACAAACGTTGCAGATGTGAGCACATCATCCAGGCCCTTGTACTTTGCTCTGTCTCTGGAATCCCTGCTCGTGTCGTTTGCAGCATTTGTGAAGTGATCATGAAGCACTCGGTAGTTTTCCCAGACTGCTCTGACGCTCCTTTCACTTGAAGCCACCCAGCGGATGGACAAAACACGCCCTATCACCAGGAGACGCTGTCCGACTGCTTGCGCACACTGCGCTAACTGCCTCTGATTTTTTGGGGAGGCATGGAACAAGGAATAGAGTTTGTCAAAAAAGATCTGGAAATGATTGAGCCCTGAGACCTCCTTGACCACATCCCCAACTGCCAGCTCTAGACGATGATTGGAGCAGTGCCACACAAACAGGCTTGGGAATTTACTACACAACTGGGTAGCAACGCCTGTTCTCTTCCCTAGCATGACTGAAGCCCCATCACATGCAAAAGAAACGAAACACTGACCTAAAAAGTCCTCGTTAAAATCTCTTCCAAGACACTCCATTAACGCCTTTGTGATGTCATCAGCCGTTGTTCCATCCAACTCGATCAGCTCCCAAAAAAACGTTTCGGGCTCAGCATCAGCTAATGCTGAGCGTAGACACACAACAAGCACCGTTTTACCACTAATAGTGGTAGATTCATCGACCAAAACACAGAGTTTTCTTTGGTTTTCTGTAATGTCTTTTGCCATTTTTTTCTTCAGCTCATGAGCTATGTGGTCGATGATTTTGCCACAGGTTTTATTGGAGTGCAAAACCCTGCCCACGTTCAGCCCATTCAGTTTCTGTACATTCAAATCAATTGGCATGTCTGTGAATGCCGGCTATGTTTGCCAATTTTATATGCCGTTCGAAAAACTCTGATAGTGGTGTCTAATTCAGATTTATGCATAGACTGCACTTGATGTTGAATAGTTTCACGTGAAGCAGATGTAAGGATGTCAGCAGCTTTTACATGGGCTTGTGATTCTTTATGTTCTTTGATTTTTTTTATCAGGCTAGCTTGTTGTTTGCCCTTGTCAACACCGAAATGAGACACTGCACACTCACCCCATTCAGTTGACAGTTTCAGTCCTTGTCCAGTGTGTATTCCCAAAGATTTGACATCTCTGCATATCCGACATCCTAGCTTCTTATCTTTAAGAAGGAGCCATGCATTGGTCTTGCAAAAATATTGCACCTGGTCCGTTGTCCAGCAGTCAGGTGCATCGCTTTTCCCGGTGTTGGTGGTGGCAGTTGCGCCAGCAGCAGCTAACTTTAGAGGCTCTGGAGGAGGCGGCGGAGCTAGTGCTAATGCTAATGCACTAGAACTTGGAGCAGGAGGATCAACCAAAGAAAGCTCCCCATCAGACACAATTTCCAACACAGGCACAGCATTCTCTGTATTTGAAGTTTCTTCCGGCGACAACCGCTGTCTTTTTGCACTTTTATTAATCCACGCTAACATTTTAGAAATGCTAATTTGTGACGTGACTTGCTTTCCTTCTCTCGGGGGCGTGCCTGCTCTGTTCTATCACTCTACATAGCCACCCACTGGGTGGGAGTTGCACTGCATAAACACAACACACGTGCATCTAGGTATGTAAATTGTAAAGCATTAAAACATGGTTTTACTAACAGTTTTCAGTATGTTGTTACTTCGGCATTATTATTATTATTATTTTGAAACGTGTATTACTATTAAATCACGGTCAAATAGGTTAATTTTGACATAGTCGTTTCCACCACAGTATTTACATGGAGAAGATAAGCCCCGCCCCCCTCTCCAGCACGTTCTGTTTGAATGACAGGAGTAAACAGCTGACAGCCGCTGTGAAACTCCAGCGGTTAGAGCGATGAGAATGTCCGTTCGGCACCTCATGACGCATTTACTGAGTACCGGGCGGCTGTATATAATATATATATGGATGTATAATAAGAACGGCGGGAGAGTGTTGAGTACTGGCACGGTGCATGAGTACCGGAGTACCGCCAGCATGCCGGTACTGAGCAAGAAGTGCCGGTGTTACCGTTTAACTGGTTACACCGGGGAACTCGTTACGTTACGTTAACGGTAGGAATGGGGCGTGTACTTTGAGGAGCCATTGTCGAATAACCAGGAAATACACATTTCGATCGCTTCTTTTGTTGTTTACATTTATCTTTTGGTATATTTGGCTCCATAGGAACACTTTGATGCACATTCAGTACCAGTGTGTGAGGTTGTGGTTGCGATGCCGATATCCGGACGCGTACAGCGAGGACTACAAAATGACAATGAGGTGACTGGGGATGTCTGTTCAAAACATTGCCAACGTGAATAAATCATTTCAAATATGTATTTGTCTCCGACTTTCATTTGTACATCGTTGTTAATGTGATGTTTAGTAGCTTTGATAGCTGTCCATACCTCCAGACAGCCTAAAAGTAAGACACAAGTTGTTTACTCACAGCCCGAATGCAGCATCGAGATCCGTGGCCAGCTGTGATCCTCTCCGATTAACTTGTGACAGGACTTCTTTAGCTATTCTCCAGCGAGCAAGGTTTTTATTAAATACCTCCATTCCTCTCATCACAACAAGACTCTACACTGTGCAGAAAAAAAACAACATAAATGAAAATAACCTTGCTGGATAGCTTGACATCAAGCATGCTCATTTCTGACGTGGAGCTAATCTGAAGTAAACATTGAATACTGCTTTCTATTCCTCCATCTTGTGACTGTGTAACTCCCTCTCTTGGATATCAGCATGTGAAGGACACTGTTCAGGAACTAGTTGATGCTCTGTATGTGATGACTACTTCCATTCTGGAGAGGATCACAGACACATGGATCCTGAGGTTGAAGCTCAAACTGGTGAAAAGTGATATTTTTCAATAAATGTTATTCTGAAACATAACTATCACTGTTGTCTTTCCTTCTATAACACTGATGTAGGCCAAGAAAAACGTTGCATTGCATAATATCTAAACTTACATTTGGCACTTTAAATGTAGCCAAAAATATGTGAAGCTTGCGCTTAGCCCACCAAAAAGTGCATAGTTGCAACTTAGGCAGTTAAGCATTTTATATCAGTGGGTCCTAATGGTGCAAGACGGGGAAGTTAGACATAATTGCTTAAACATATAGGCTTAACCCTTTAATTGGCAGACCAAGAAAAAATCTATGGAAAAAGTATTTGTTTGCATTTTTTTATCAAATGGGACACAAACTACTTTTTTTTTTACTGTCTACACAGTTTTGTTTTTATGAGCCTCAACCAACTGGTCGTGCTGGCATTTTATGGTAAAAGTGAATTTTCAACAATCATCATCTACAGTATTTGTATGCATCAAACTCAAATACATGTTT